CTAATAGGTGACAATTGTAAAGTTGACGCGTCTCAGGACAAATGTTACTGCAACAATCAAGCAGTTCACATTTCTTATCATCGTTATACAAATTAGTATAACGTGATATTGTTATCTGCTGTAGTGATATTATTTTATTCTGTGGATATATTCTTCAAATCATACAGAATACAGATTACAGGTGTTATACCAAATACATATATAATTGGTATACTTAATAATTTAATATATTATTATTTTAATTATAAATTATAATATTTACATAATATATGGAAAAGTTAGACATTGCAACCAGTAACATGGAAGAGCTTAATATAGCAGATTTGCAACCACATACTGCATTTATAAAGGAACATTAAGAGACACTCAATTACTTGTGGCTCATAAGAACCTAAAAATATTAATAGCGTGCAATGTCGAATTGTGAATAAAACATTCAAAACAAAAATTTAAAATTTCATATAGGGCAGACCATGGCGTGAAATTACAAACGAAAAAGACGTTGCAACTCTTCATGGTAATTTGATTTACTAATTTTAATTTACAGAATATTCTGTTTCACTATACCTAAACTACACAGCAACACTTATAGTTATATTGTATTATGAAATATAATACTTGATTTCAAAGAGTAAAATTAAAACGGAAGATGATAATTTATGTTTTATGCGTTAAGTGCTTTCCGTAGACTGTAGGACAGAATAAAACTATAACATATCTGATTGTCATCGAACCGGTAATTTCCAAAGTAAGAATCAACAGGATTGTCCGTAAAATTAAAAGTCAGGCACAAACAAAATTGGATCTACATGTCCATCGTCAATGGTATGAATTAAAATTTCTTAATTGACGTTTCGTTTTTACTTAATATTCTGTTTAATACAGATAGTAGTAACAGAAGACGAAACTATCTGTAGAGTTTTGTAGTACTCATTTTGGCCATAATATGAATCTTGGTAGATGTAATTTAACACCTGAAGAAAGAGCCATGATTGCAGGTGTGGATTGTAAAATGTGATTAAGGCATGTGTGCAAATATAAATCAACATATTAAACCGTTTTAATTATACTATAAGTTGTACTTTTACACCAACTGTAAAAGCTAAAATAAAAAGTAATCTTTTTTTTCAAATTATGTCTTTTACATTTTGTCAATGATTAATATTCAATAGTCGTTAATTAATAATCTTTAAGTAATAAAAAATTAATTACGTTGTATTTTAGTATTTAATACATTTTTCATAACTTATAACTTAAAAAATAAATTAACTTTTCATAGAGTACTTGTTTAAGTCATTTCTTAATAAGACTGTACAATAGTTTTATTTTTTTTTACATAGCAAAATGTCTTTAAAAAGTGTTCTAAAAAAGAAGTTTAAGATAAAAAATCCAATGTCAACGAAGAAAAAAAATAAACCAAAACTTGTTTCTTACACACCATCTGCAGATACTTATAATAAAATTGATGCAGATAATGATATAAAAGAATGTTCCATAAATGACAAAGAGCAAAATAAAAACACAGTCCCTGAAAAACAATTTAATGGTGAGAATAGTTATGAAAAACATATTAATAATGATGAATCAATAAAGTTATCAACTGTCAATAAGAAAAAACGCAAATCTACAGATCACGATACAAGTCTTGAATGTGTACCTACAAAAAAAAGAGTAACTTTTGCAGCTGATGTAAAAAGTGAAAAAGATGAGAAAAGCAGTGCTGGAAAATTGAAACTAATGAGCTTAAACAAACGGAAAAAATTGAATTATATAAAAAAATTAAAGGCAAAAAAAAAATAAACAAAAGAATGCAAAAAAGTGTGAAGAGAATGCTACTGCTATTAGTACACCTAGACAAGAACGAGCCGTGGAGTATTTAATGCAATGGAAAAATGACCGATCTAATTGGAAGTTCAAAAAAATTTATCAACTTTGGTTGATTAAAAACACTTATGACCCCCTGAAAGCAAGTATTATAATATATATAAATACATTTTATGCGTTTGAAATAAAACTTTTATTATCAAAAAATATATTTTCATTTTTAATGAACCTTTTTTTTTTAAATATAATTTATGAATATAAACGTTGAATACCAAAAAAGAATTAATAACTTTATAATATATGTATATTTTTTTTTTAGGTATCTAAAGAACATTTTGACATTTTAGTGGAATACCTTCAAACTATTGAAGGTAAAAGTCGCAATATAATTCTTCAAAGTGCTAATACAATTGTCTCAGAATTTTCAACGTCTAATGAAGGACAACAGGAATTGAATTTATCACAAGAAATTAAATATCAAAGAGCAAGGACTATTATTCAAATGTTTGAATGATACATTTAATAAAATATATTCTTTAAAATAATTGTAACTAATTTTGTTTTATTAAAATATTTAATAATAAAAATTAAATAAATAGCATGAAAACCATAAACCTAACTGAATTCAATTACCTATAAAAAATTTCATAAGTGTAATACATTATTTTTTTTCGATACTAGTCTCAGTTAACTGTGAAACAAAATGTTTAAGTTTATCTTCGTCTTGTAGTCCAATCATTTTTCCTTGAACTTTGCCATCTTTCATTAAAATTAATTCTGGTACTACTGATACCTAAAAAAAAGTTTATTTAATTTAGAATCATGTTACATTAATTCCAATTTTTTTAAATACATATTTTAAGATGTTTGTATATTTGTATTTATAAGCTATTTTAAAGTATAATTTAGTAAGCAAATTAAAGTATTTTTCAAAATATAACAATACATTCTTTTAGATTCAAAATTTTTTAAATCCAGTTGTAAATTGTTTTAAAAATGTTAAAATAATACTAAAATCATTTGTATTTGATTTTTAAGAGATAATTGAAGACTTTTTTTTGTGTTATAATAATATATAAAATATTGTTATATTCTGTGATTAAATGAATTTCTTGATTAAACAATAAAATTCTTAGATTATTCCCAAAAAAAAATTGTAATATCTTAACTATTAAACAAGAAATAATTAAACCAATCAAATTTAGTTATACTTCATACTAATAAATTATTGATTATTTAATTAACAGTTTACGTTGCAAGAAACTATAAACTTTTTTTTTATTAATAGCCACTAATATTAAAACTATAATAGCTCAACAATTACAAAAGTATGAACTTAACAAGTGTTTAATTCAAATCTCATACAATATAGAATATATTTAAATACTTTGTTAATAAAATGCAAGGTTTACAATATTTCTTTTTTTTTTTATAATGGATTCAAAAAGTCCGATGTCCTAGTTACAAATAATTAAAGATAAGATGTGCAAAATAGGGTGACAAAATGATAATGTAAATAATATTGATCCATTAGAAATAAAAACATTTTTATGAAAAAAAAAAAAATAAGTTTAAATGTTAATAATATTTTTATTAAATAAACAAAATAAATGTAGATTTGGCATAGGAGGAGGCCTACTCCAAAAATATGATAAGAAATGATAATTGTCCTTTTGGATATGTTCCTAAACCTATTAATATTAATAATTCATAATGGATTTTAAACAAATAAGTGTAGCAAATATTAAAATTTAACCCAACTTTTTGAATTTTAAATTGTGTTAGTTACATCTTGATACTTTGACAAGTAAAATTATGAACAAGTTTCATGAAATCATGCTGTAGGTGGATTTAATAGAATCCAATATCTCAAACTTTTGTTTACATGATGTTTCTTTTAATAAAAATTACTCTATTAAAACACACTTCTTCTCCTTAAAAGGTAAAAACTTTTTTATCTCATAGTTTTAAATCATAACAAAACATTATATTTTGATTATTAGAAACCTATAATATTTTTTTTTGTTCTTTGAAAGAAAACATGTTATTAATCAGATAATTAATTGTATAAAAATTGAATATCTAATAAACAGTACAGAATTTTAAACACTGAGAGTCCCAGTGCAAAAGAAAAATAGGGATCCCTTTGAAAATTTAAAAACTTGAAAAGTGGAAAATTTTAATAAATCTATTTTTGGTTTGGATCTTGCTGAGCAGAATGCATCATGACGTAAACGTGCTTTAATCAATTGGTAATGTGAATGAAAAAAAAAAAAATACTAAACAATACAGATTAAAATATATTCACAATAATTTATCACAGATAGAATAGGAACAAATTAAAATCTAGTTTTAAACCAATAACCAAAATTCAATACGTTAAAAAAAAATCTATTTTAGTTTTAAGTATTATCATATCAGATATCCATAATACTGGGGAGCCCCAAATATTTCAAAGCGATGAGGACCTGGTGCAATGTACCATTTGCACTGGCACTGCAAATGAATAGTTTCTAATATGTAAGATTTTAAAGTTTAAACAGGGAGAGTAGGAGATTAAAAAATTACAAGACACCCCTGGGCTGGAACTTTACTTAACAATACCTTTAAATAAATATAAATTACAACTTACTGTAATTACGTCTTGTTTAAGATTCAATTTAAAAGAATATTTTTCTTAATGTTGTTTTGTTTACTGATTAATTTAACTTATGTAAAAATGTTAATATTTTTAAACTAATAAGTTTTTTACAAATAAAATAATCACTCTATTCTGTATAATATAGGACTTACACCATATTCCATGGCAATTTCAGCATTGTCATCAATGTCAACTTTTACAAGATGAATTTTACCATTATGTTCTTCTACTATTTTTTCAATTCGCGGAAGTAACATTTTACATGGTCCACACCATCTAAAAGATTAAAAAAAGACCAGTTTAATAAAATAAAAATAAAGAAGTTACATTAAATCTTTTAAGTTATTTGAATGATATTATTAACATTATAAAATGATAAATTAATTTATAAATTGCAAAAAAATATTGAAATTACAAAATTTATGTAAAGAATATACAGTAAAATTGTTTTCATAATTAATATAATTTTAATATATCAGGTGTAATATAAGTATTTTTTAATATATTATTTGCTGAAGACAAATTATGAATGTAAAAAAGTATGGCAAAAATATACTCTTACTCTTACAAATGACAAAGATGCTGATTAAATTAAATTTAAATATATTTTAAAAAGTCAAACAAATATATTAATATATAAAATAAATATTTACATACGTTGCGAAAAAATCTATTACCACAGGCTCTTTACTTTTTAGTACTTGTGTATTGAAGTCTTCTTGATCTTGAATTTTAATTATTCTGTGCCTAGCTATAATTCATAAAATAAACATCATTACTAATCTTTTAATAATTAAATTTTAGTACTGGTGTAGAAAATATTTCTATCAAAAAAAAAAAAAAAATTATGAGGGAAAAAAACTAAATCTGTAAAGAATATATTATATATAAAAATAATTGTATTAATTTTAATGTCTCATATTTTTACTCCTAAGGAATAAATTCTACTCCAATACCATAATATTACCTGTAGTTATGCTGAAGTTTCTTGAAATGATTTTTGTCAGCGACATATTTTTAGCAATATTTAAAAACATGATTTAAACTTTTAATGTGTAGAATAGAATAATGAGTTACTACTTACTAGTGTTACTATACTAATGAAAACTTAAAAATGCTGTTTCGTAATTTCTGTAATTTAAAACTAAGAATTACCTACCAACTATATGATTGTCGATTGATATAACTATTATACCACATTTAATAATACCAACCATGTATAAGTATTGAATAAGTTAATAACTATTTATTTTTTAATTTTTTAATAGTATCAATGTATTAATTGTATCATTATTGTGCTTATCATATATATACAGTATCACTAATTTTTTTCATTTTAATAACTACAATATAAAAATGATCTCAGTCAGCTGTTTTGAAAAATTATTTTTTTTTTATCATAATTCATAAAATAATATAATATGTAAGACTAGTAAGACTATAGTTTTTAGTTTACTCTATAGTCTGTATAAAATTGTATGCATTGTTACGCAACAATAAATAAAGTAATGAAGTATCTTCAGCAATCATATTGCGTAAAAAACTTGTTTATCAATCCAATGTATTTTAATTATAAAATTAAAATTATTCTTAATTTCTTTAAAATCATCTATTTATTTTTTATTATCTTATAAATATGAAAACTGAGCGTATACGACTATACGTTATGCCCATTCTTTTCTGAATATTATTCATGAAAGTAAATAATATGTAATAAAAATTATAATATCCTAAAACAAGCCACAAGGTATTAATAATACTTAACAGCGAAATCTTGTTTTTTATTAATACACCTAGGTGTTTATAATTATATGATTTTTACTGCTTTTTAAATTTCTAACATTTCTATAAATATATAGTTCAAGTTCAGTGTATACCAATTTCCTAGGCCCTAAGTTAAGGTATTAAAATTAAAACCATAGAGTAAGATAGGTAGGTAATGTTGTATGAAGAAATAGGACCCGTCGGACCCGAGTCATTGAGATCCAAACCATACGCCATGGTAATAATATAAATCTATTTTTTATAGTTGTTTTGGGATTAATTTGTCATCTCTATTTTTTTGATCAAAATATTTCACTGGTTAACTGATATATTAGAATTGGTAAATAAAAATTATCATAGGTATCACGATATAATAATATACCAGTATAATAATATTTAAAACAGATCAGATCTCTTAAAAAAAGATTTTAATTTTAATTAAACATCAATTTAGTTCATACCAAAACCAAAGTTAAAATTATAAATCTACATTTTTACGGTTATTTTTTATTTTTTCTTATATATATAGTTATCATTAATAATACAATTGTTAACATTTGATGAAATACATATAGACTGGAATAATTACTTAGGTACATGAAGTATATGCAATGGCTATCGAAAAAAAATCTCAAGGAAAAATAGGTGGACCAGGGTTAACTGTAGAGTTCGATGAAATTTTATTTTTGAAAAGAATTAATCATATTAGGAGAATACTTACTGAACAGTAGATATTTGGAAGAATATTTTTGAGTTATGATGTATAATTATATTTTTAATACTAATAAGGCCAATAAGGGTACAGATAATAGTATAATAGTTTGTAAAAGAATAAAAGAATCATGTCCAATAGAATGTATCTAGTCCAATAAGCATAGTATTTACTCGTGTGTAGTTTGTATATTTCATCACCAAATTCTAAATACTAATGTCTAATGTGTTCTACACATATTAGACAAATGAGCTTAGATGAATATTATACTAGAGATTTTTAGGTAATACCTGCAGGATATATGAGAACTTTCAAAAAATACTACAAGCACAATGCCAGTATAAACGAACTATGTTTTTGTCTTCTAATAGTAGATAAAAAAAATGTTTTAGTCAATTAAAATATAAGTTGAGTATACGCCGTGTTATGAATTTTATGCATTTAAAAATGCCGCCATAATAAATGAAACTAGATGTCTCAAATTGATTGTGACCAAAATGTCGGTGGATCTAAATGACTAGGGACCTGAATGACTCAGATCTGGTAAAAATACTAATCAGAATATTTATCTTGTATGTATCTAAATGACGTGGGAACAATTTGTATACCTAGAGTAATTTGACTACTGCCTTTTGTTCTATGAAATATAATTTGGTTTAACCTAACCTAACCATAGTCATCGTGTATGATAAAATAATACTGTTTACTAACAAATTCACTAAAGTTCTTCTAATTAACTGTATAACAATACATGATAATAGTCTTATAATGTTTTTTACCTCTTTTATTTTTTTATTTTTTTTTGAATAAATACAATAAAAATATTAAATACTATTTTCAATCTAATTTATAATGTTGTACTTAGAAGATTATCTCGAAAGTAAGTTTAATGTTTACAATTATCAATTATAAACACTTATTTATGTTATATATTTTTTTAAGATATCGAGCACTTGCCACAAGAGATGAGAAACCGCTTTACAAAAATGAGAGAAATGGACTTACAAGTAGAAAGTATGTATTCTACTGAAATCTGTAATATTATTATAGTTTTTTTTTTTTTTGTGTTTTTGATTTATGTAAAATTATCAAATTTCATGACAATAATGTTAGGTAGGTAAGTTAATAAGTGTTTCAACATATAAGTTTATGACTATAGCTAAAAACTAAATTTATTTTTTGTATAAAATGTAGTCAAGAAATATTTTAAAACTATTATAATTGTTTAATGAGGAATTATTAGTTTCTTAAAAATAAATAATTAACAAAACTGCCAATAAATATCAATGATACAATCAATTCAATAAACATTTTTTTATTTTTAGATTTAAATTTCACTTGAATGAACTTTTATTATGTTTTTCTTAATATTAAATTTTAATTATATAAATTGTATTCAATTAAATTTAAAAAAAATATATAACCAACAAAAATTTATTTAAATGTATTTTAGATTCTATGGATTGCATAAAAAAAAATGTGGATACTTTGTTTTTAAAAGCAGACAATATGAATCCAGAAGAATTGGAAACTAATTTTAAAGCAATCATGAAAGAAGGAGAAAAATCTGTAGAACAGTCTGGTAAATACTTGGTATTTTTGTTAAATTTTAATCTGACATTTATTTATTTTAGAGGAAAAAGTTCAATTAGCTAACCACATGCATGAACTTATGTCAAAATATTTGAGACGATTAGATCATGAGTTACACAAATTTAAAATGGAACTAGAAGCTGATAATAGTGGTATCACTGGACTAATTGAAAAAAGTAAATTTTATTTTTATAAAAGTTACATTTGGTACAATATTTAATTTATTGTATTTTAACTTTTTTTTTTTTTGATTTCAGGAAGTTTGGATTCAGAACAAAGTAATATTAGTATTCCAAATCAAAAAGAAAATAAGTATCAATTGAATAGGTGTCTTTTTAATGGTATGTACCTTAAACATTAAGTTTAGTCAGTTATGATTTGTAGTACTGTATCAAGAAATAGTAGCTTCCCTGGCTTTGAACAACATTTTCTCCCTGATCTTCCAATTTGTTTTTTCTACTACTATAAAAAACTAACTATTTAAAAAAAAAATTCTCCGTCAACTGTAGTATATTATGTCTATCATTCTTTTTTTATGAAGTATAAAAATGGTCACATCATTATGATTTATTGAAAATTTACTTTTCGTACTGTGAATTGTGTTAAAATAATAGTTGTATTCTTTACTTCTTTAGACTTTAATCTTCTTGATTGACAAGATGGATGTAAATCATAACTTTTGTTTCATAAACACATTACACAAATTGTTTTAAATAATTTAATTTTTTGTCCATGTGTTATCAATGTAATAGAATATGTCAATATTTATATTAACATACGTAGCAGTTAGCACAAGAAATACATAGATCATTGTATTAATATAATATCAATATATTTTATTTATAATTATAAATATCACTTGGTAATACTGAGTTAGTATTCTTTTATTCCCTTCGTGTCCCCATACTGTCAATCACTCTTAAATGTGTTGCATTAACGCTAAAAAAATTGTTGACAGGTTTTTTTTTTGTTATCATAACTAAATTTTGACTACCACACGTTGATAATGTGCTCTTGGATTAATAGTATTATAATATTATAATAGTATAATTAATTTTGTTATGTGATCCCTAATGAGTATTAAAATGTTTATATTTTTTTTGTTTTAGTAACTATGAGTTACATTTTTAAAAAGATTAAAAGAATTACATTAAATACTAACATAGTCTTTGTTGTATCAGATAAACAAGAACCATTAAATCATGTTAGTACTTCCAAACAAAAATCAACATCAATAGCTTCAAATTCTACTAGTAGTGATGTAGCATCACCTTCACGCCGTGATACAAGTCCTGCAAACTCTCGAATGGTACCATCTTCATTATCATACACATTGGGACATATGGGAGCTGGAAGTCCTGCAATTGCAGCAGCTGCATCCCAAGCTATTGTTGCTACTCAACAAGTAATTTACTATGCGTTTAATATTAATAATTTAAGCATAATTATATCAGGTCATATGAACAATGAGTAAACATTTAATGAATGAATCAATAGTGAATAGTAATTTAATAATCCCTGGTATCTTAAACATAATTTAGTGAACCATAATTTGTCCATTCAATTTTATTGGACCATTAAATAAATCAATTTTCATAATACCTAATTTTATAGTTTTTTAAATAAAAATAGTTAATGCTATTTAAGGCTTCTTATTGTTGTATTTATTATTATTAATTAAAAATAGGAAGTTATATATATTTCAATAATAATTATTAGTGATTTTAAAACGACAAAATTATAATTTACTTTTAAATAATTATTGGTCCACCTTTCCAATTTAGAAACAACCTATTTTATTATTTTGTTTAATCATGTTATATTTTAAATTAAGAAACTGATACATTTTTTTTTCTCCATATTACATTAAGATTATTTAAATTTACATTTATCTTGTTTATAATCTTAAATATTAATAATTAAATTGTGTTATTTTCAGTTGTCTCAAGGTCGTAGAACAGCTAGTTTAAAAGCATCTCTAGAAGCAATTAATTCTGGAGCTAACTTGACAGGTCAAATGAGCTCTACTTCAGGTGTTCTACCATCGGAATTGCCTATTAGTAAAGAATTAGCAGGTGTTGCACATTTAGTCAATCCTAATATGGATGGAACTAGGAAACATAGAAGGTAAATTGTATGCAAAACCAAGTGATAATATTGTAGTTTTAATCAATTTTTTTGGAAAATCCATTGTAGGCGAGGAGGTACTCAAAATTCACAGTTGTCCACTGAAGAAGATATGGATGAACCAATTGATCCCAATGAACCTCGTTATTGTATATGCAATCAAGTTGCCTATGGTACAATGGTTGCTTGTGATAACAAAGGGGTAATTATGAAAAAAATATTATATCAATTATCAATAGTCAATAAATTAGATTATTAATGAATGATTTAGAAGATTTAAACAAAGATTAGAACAAAATCTGTTTGGCTCAAACTGACCTTTCCCTTTTTGCCTAGACTAGTAAAGATCACTTTAATATTAAATTGGTTTTATAACATCGATTATTTCATTCAATTAAATAATGTACATTATCTACAATAATATTTTAATACCATTTAAATTTAAAAATGTGTATAATAAACTAACTCGAACCAAAAAATTTATGAGAATTGAAAATATGTTTCCTTATGGTGTTTCCTGGACAATGCTGCATAATGCCAAATATGACTATAAATAATTTATGTACATTATAAACTAATAAAATTACATAAAAATAAATGTTTTTATTAAATCAACTATTGCCAGTTGTCATTTAAATTAGTGATGGGCATAATCAAGATATCTTGATTGTTTTTCATAATCGAAATATTTCAATTATGAGTAAAATAATCGAGTAATTTCTGATATGAGTAACGTAATCGAATTTTGAAATATTTTGAATTATTATCTGGTAATTGATTATTTAGTAGGTATATTTTAAATCTGAAAAATGGTTTATATATGACATTACAATTTTCAATGTAGTACATATTTAATATTTATGATTATATGTATTTATTACCTTCATAATTAAGCATTTACAGTATTTTAAACCAACACATTTATTTAAAATTTAGATAATAATTATTAAATAAAAAAATAAAAACTTGTCTTTTATTTAAAGCACCTATTAATAATGCATTATCATGGTTATATAATGGTTATTACTTATTAGTTATTACTTATTACCTACTTATTGTTATTCCTAAATTATAGTCTAATTTTTAATTACTATTATACCAGTAAATAAAAAAAAGCAATATTTAACTAATAATTATTTACTATAAGTTTATTCATATTTCGAGAGATTTTTTCGATTATCTCGATAAGTAATAATAGTTGATTATTCTTAACATACGAAAAAACGATTTTAATTTCAAGTGATTTTTCTAAAGATTCTCTCGATTATGAAAATGTCTCGATTACTAATCATTTGATTATGCCCATCACTTATTTAAATATTAAATTGATCTTATCTAGTTTAGGTGACATATGTTATACCCAAACATACAGATAATTATATCTGTTATTATTCAAGTTAATACTAATTATAAGAAATATTGTGAAAACTATACCTATTAATTAGATAAAATATTTCTTTGAAATTATTTTAATTCGTAAAATTCTATGATACAACAATAGTTATTTTCATTACAAAAATGTTTTATTTAAGTAGTTATTTAAACCAAAAACAGTTTATCTTACTTTAAAGCTTAATCATTTTTTATGCCTGTCAATAATTATTGAAAATCTGTCCATACATTACATAAGAAATTTAAAGGGCTGTGGATAACTTAAATATTTAATTCGAATTTTAGTTAACTCAAAAATAATAAATATATGTCTCATCATTATATTTCATGTAATATTTGTTAATTTAAACTGTTATTATTTTGCAGTGTCCATATGAATGGTATCATTGTGAATGTGTTGGTATAACAGATCCACCAAAAGGCAAATGGTATTGCCCTCAATGTATTACAACAATGAAGAGTCGTAGATCACGAAAAACCACATGAACGGTTATACATTTATTTATAATCACTCATGTGTACTTATTTATATATATTTTTAACTTGATATTATTGAATCCAATATTTTTTATAAAAAAAAATAAAAGAATAGTGAACGATTACTAGATGTAAATTTATAAAACATTCTTAAGGACTTTTCTTGTTTGTTTTATTAATATATTATGAATAAATTAAAAAAATTATACAAATTTATATATATATAATACTTCTTGCAGTTTTTTCTGGAATTAGAAAAAAAATAATCTTAGTAAAAAATACTCTATTGTAATTTTTATATAATTTATTTTAATTTAGATAGCTTGTATCATTTAAATTTGAATGGAATTAATCAGTTGATCTTCAGAATTTTTATCGTATGTATTGTATAGATGCATGTGTAGGTAATGATTAATATGATAGCATATCTTCTTGAACCGCTGTCAGCTTTGTATGAAATACAGCCATGCTAACATAAGTTATCTATTATGGCTGCATAAAATTAATTTGCATTGTAAAAAATAAAATGCATACAATGCTAATGTTGTATCTATAATAAATTATAATTCATTTTCCAAAATCAACTGAATCTCTGTTTTAGAGATAAAAAGATTTGACTTAAATTGATGAAATGATTATTTATAATAATAATTTTAATCTCCATATTTATAAATGTTCATAAATTATTAAAATATTAATTTATGTATAAATCATTACATTATATTAATAAATAAAAAAATATTATAAACAAGGAACACACTATTGATTTTTTCTTTAAATTGTTAACTTGAAAAAAAATCTGTAAATGTTTTGTTCTATCAACTAACCTAAACATTGATACTAACACAACAAATCTTAACCTAATAAAAAACTGATGGTATTATTATTAGGTATGTATATTATTATTTATAATAAATTATAAATATAGCATAAAATTATAAACACAAATTAATTTTTAAAATATTTAGATTTATTTTAAATTGGTTTAAGTTATTTATAATTTTTACTATTAATTTATTCATACTGTACAATGTACATTAGTACTTATGTTAGCTTAAGCTTATATAAGTTACTATCTACTAGTATTATAAAAATTATTTTTGTGATTTGTTAATCATAAAAATTAATTAAAAATATTATTTATAAAAATAGTATTACTATAGAAAAATAAATAGCTGAACACTGATAATAGAATATACTATTCACAAGGATGCTAAGCTCAAAACATTTTTATAAATGGCATACATATGAAAAGAAAGTCTATGTATGCATAATATTTATTATTGACATCTTCTAGAAAATTAAAATTTAAGACTGTTTTATACATGTATATATAACAAGGGTGGCCAGCAAGAAGAGACTAACAAGCGGCTTAATATATTAATAAATATGGAAGAGCTAAAATGAAAACATAATTCATATTAATATATATATATATCTATAGATGATTTTCATAAATTAGTTAATTAGATATCAATTGAAATAAAATGTGTAAAATATGAAACAATATAAAATATAAATTAATAATTTAAAATTAAAATAAATACATATTTAAATATTATATCAAAAACACTATATTTTTTTTGTAAATTTTTTTTATAAATTGAAATTTAATAAAATAATATACTTCTTCAAATATATAAATTCATATAAAATAAAATTTTTTTTTTGTAATAATTTTTTATCTTACGATAAAATGCAAGCCATATAAGTCTGACAAGAGCTGCATACACAATATACTAAAAGTAGTTAAATTAACTATGTAAAGCATAAATAGGTAATAATATTACTTCAATTTATATAATAATAAATCACTTTTTAAAGCCTTAACTGAAACTTATGAATTTTAATAATATTTTATAAAATCCGAAAAAGATATTGTCAATAGAATAAATGTAGAGTAGCATAAACTTTATTTAAAATAAAAAAATTATTAACCTAATTTAAATTTATTAATATTAAGTGGACATAAAAATAATAAAATCAACATCAAACAATTTAATATACTTAACGTATTACTTTTTTTTTATTACCTTATTTTTTTAATTAATAAATAAAGCCTATTTATTTAAATTAATAAATACAGCATATTTATTTAAATTAATACATTTTTTCTTATTTTTACATAAAAAATGTATATTCATACTTGTTTTCATAATTTAATGGCACTAAGTGAATAAAAAATCAGTTATTTATTAGCACATAAATTAGAAATTAGAGTGAAATATAAAACCAAATTTATGCTTTTTGGAATATTTTAAAAGTATTAATTTATTTAAATACATATGTGATAAAATTAAATCTGAGAAAATATTTCAATATAAGATTAAATAAAAATATTTTTAATTTTTACTAAAATCTTAAAAATCCTGTGCGTTTCATATTTAGCGGCGTTTCTTAACCTCTTTCACATACTTTCCTCCATGAAATATTTACATTTACTACACGCTTACAATCTCCCTTTAATATTAAAGTTGTTCCACCTTCCACACAACGATTTGCCATCGTTCTCTTTTGATAAACATTATTGGGGTATCGTTTTTATTTTCTGAATCATTGGCGGAACATCCGTAAGCAAGTAAGTTTTTACAAATTTTATCCATTTGAATCCTCCGATTTAATGACTTTTTTCGCATTCTTGTTATTAAAAACGTATCTTTACTAACTGTTTTAATCTTTTGTTTACAGAAATGGGCCGTCGTCCTGCAAGATGGTAAGTAAAATCGTAACTATTTCATATTATTCCGTCCGCCACATTTTAGACTAAATGTTTACGAATTTATTCTTACCGTATTGTTTTTTATTATTGACAAATTTATACTATACTGAAATTAATTCCGTCACTTTTAATACTATTCAACTAATTTTTGGTTCAAGAAACTATTGAAATTAGAACTACAATAATTATGAACCAACACGAAAGTCAGTAAAATATTTAAAAATGTTATTATGTTAATAGTTATCGTTACTGCAAAAACAAGCCGTACCCAAAATCTCGGTTTTGTCGTGGTGTGCCAGATCCTAAAATTAGGATCTTCGACTTGGGAAAGAAGAAAGCTAAAGTAGACGATTTTCCGTTATGTGTACATCTTGTAAGTAATATTTGGTCATAGTTATATTCAAATTTTTCTAACAGTCATTATTAGGTATCTGATGAATATGAACAACTGTCTTCTGAAGCATTGGAAGCTGGACGTATTTGTGCCAATAAATACATGGTGAAACATTGTGGTAAAGATCAGTTCCACATTCGAATGAGACTTCATCCGTTCCATGTCATTCGTATCAATAAGATGTTGTCATGTGCTGGAGCTGATAGGTATGTGATAATTTATTTTTATTGTATGCATGGTTGTTTTCACTGAACCTAATCTAATTAAAATCTTAAAGGACTTATTTGGTATTATAATTATAAATTCATTGCTCTTCATCATTTATAATAAACAAATTTATTACATTTTGGATTTTACTCCTAAACAATGACATTAATTTTTATTTTTTTTGGCTAGATCCATTTTTGTATAGGTTTTAACAATTTTAAATTGAATTAATTTATTTATGCTGAGCATTAAATACATTTTAAGAATATAAGAATATATTGTAAAATCTAAATTCAAGATATAAAAAGATATTCAAAATATATTTTTAAGCTTATGTGTAATTTGCCTTTTTTTTCAGGCTTCAAACTGGAATGAGAGGTGCTTTTGGTAAGCCTCAAGGTACTGTTGCTCGTGTGCATATTGGTCAACCAATCATGAGTGTTCGCTCATCTGATAGATACAAAGCCGCTGTTATTGAAGCTTTACGTCGTGCTAAATTCAAGTTCCCTGGTCGCCAAAAGGTATTTATATGATCTTAATCTAGTACTTTTATATATCTATATTGGATATATAAAAATCAAATTACCATGTTTATTCTTAATTACCAAAGTACTTAACATTTTCATTTCCTAGAAATACTTATCTATGAAAGGTCTAAACTCCCTCAGCAGTATTAAACTTATTATAAAAGCTTATGTTTTGTTCATTCATATTATTTTAATTATCTGACAACATTTCTTGTAAGTAGGTGTGTATTAGTACTAAATACAAGTTAATTTTCTCACGCTTGTTCAATCATATGAATTATTATTATTGTTATATATAATTATGAAATAAACAAGTTGTCATCTTTGTAAAGATTTAGTGCTAATGCTTATAGCAACTTTTTTAATACTAAATTTTTACTTTTCCAGATTTATGTAAGCAAGAAATGGGGATTTACTAAATATGACCGCGCAGATTATGAAACATTGAAAGAAGAAGGAAGATTAGCTCCTGATGGTGCCAATGTTAAATTCCGACCTGACCATGGACCATTGGATAACTGGAGAAAAGTCCAACGGGAACTTCTCGCTGTTTAATTATGGTTTTGATATCTCTTTTATTGGAATTGAATAAAAACAATTTTGTGAACTTGAGAGTTTTATTTAAAAATTTTGAAAATAATTCATTCCATCCAGTAAATAAGTTAGTTTTAAATTTGATGCTTCATAAATTAGTGACGATATTAAAGGTTATGTGTGTTAGTTTGATTTTCCACAAGTGTATAGTGCTGTTGATTAAATTATGTGTGAATTTAGTTTTTACTCTTCATCCTCAAAGATTTCAATTTAGTATTCTATTTGGTTACAAATGTTTAATATCAATTAAAAGTAGTGTATTGTGGTTAAATGAATTTTTGAATTAAAAATTCATTGTTTTTTTTAACAAAAAATAAGTAAAAACCTTGTAACAACTAACATTAATATAATGATCAATAGTATTTCAAGAAGCATTAGAAATCGAAATTTTGAAAAATAAGATAAGCATCACTCATCTGTGTGGAATTAGTCGTCAATAAAAATATATAGTGTGAATTAAATTTTTTTGATAATTTGTTTCATCTGCATGTGCTGTCTCCATGTACAACAGTAAAATCTGTTTCACGCGAGCGAGAACCACTATGGCTGTAGTTCAAATAAAAAAACCTGGTTCTTACCAAAAAAAAAAAAGTAATATAACTGTGTAACTTAGATTTTATTTTTTTGATATCACTTATTCAAATAAAGTTTTATCATAAATGTAACATAAATAACTTTTTGTGATTTTATTATCAAGAAAATTTAAACAGTGTACTATACTCTATAATCTTTTTAGTGTAAATATTTGGTTGCCTTAAGTTTAAACTACAGTCTGAGTGGTTTTTGCATGCATGATAAGATTTTTATTATGTTGTACATTTATAAGACAGACATCATGTGTAGGTAAAGCATCTAGAATAATAGAAATAATATAATGATGTTATATTTACTGAACCATACCTAACTGACCATTGAGCTAATATGTCTCATAAATATATTTAGGATCAATAATTGTTTGATTTTAACTTAGTAGATTCTCATATTACACAAATTCAATAAAATTGTTAAGTTTAAAAAAATATTCTTTCACAATTAAAAAATGTTGAGTTTAAAAATTTCCTTGCAATGATATAATTTAACTTCATATGATGACAAAGATAACCAAAATTTGTATATTATAAAGAAAACAACAATTTTTTAACTTTTATTGAAGAAAAATATATTTTACAATTTAGTAGTATGATGCTTAGAAATTTGTATTTCTTAGTATCTGTAAAGAATTACTATATACATTTTAGATGATAATTAACCATACATTATCCAATAAAATATACAACACTAACCACTATTATCGAGACTGGTTCAGTGAAATGGAGTTTCTAAAGAACAGATATTTGTAAGGCTATGAAATATTCTCTTGTGGAACAGAGTATACATTTATAACAGAACAATTACATATATGTACTAAAATTTGATATTGCAATTTACCTTGACATCTCAATAGAATATTTTTTATTTAGAAATTGTTACATAATTTTTAATAATGTACATAATTACTGAACTAAATATTGGTATAATTTACCTGATTCCTGATAAAATGACTAGTAAGTATATATTTTTTAAATTTATTATTAATATTTAATAATTTAGAACCCCACTTAATGAATTCTCAGTGTTTCAAGTAACTTAATCTTAATTATATTTATGTATTTAAATTTATATAATTTAAAAGCTAAATATCATTTCCTAAACTTATCATGATTATTTTAAAGTATAAAAATATAAAAATACAATTATATTATTTAACATTTTATTTTTATTAAGATCTCAATTCCAGATTTTCCAAACACAATAATTTGTTAAGTAACAACAAAAAAAGGCAATTCTATAATTAATGATTAAGTACTTAATAGTTAATATACAATAGTTATTAAAAATATATAATTTATGTATAAACTATTATAATACAAAAATAAACATATTTGTATTTGTTTTTAAGAACAAATAATAGGTAACATTTCAAAATTACTTAAATGTTGAATTTTTGATTTTGATTTTATTAATATAAAAAGTATTAATTGTTGAACAATTAAGATAATATTTTGCAAAAATATAGATAATGTCAAAAATTAATGTAATAGGATTTGCTTATAGCCATTTATATTAATTTTAATTATAAATAATAAGAATTAAGTAGTTTGTTCTGGATGGTAACATTCTAAACTTACAGTACCATATCTTGTGGTTGAGGGTGATGAGACAAAAACTGAATTTGGCTAATTATAAAGGTTTGAAAATATTGGATTAAAAAAGAATCTTAATATTTTTTTAAGTTGCCAAAATTGGTTAATAAAGATTAAGTTTGCATTCTGTAAAAAAAAAAAATCAAACAGTTTATTAACAAAATAGATTTTTGTTATAAAAATTTACTTACTATGCTATTGGTTGCTTAAAACTATGTTAAGTATTAACAAAAAAAAAAAAAAATTGTAAAATCCTAAATTATGTTAATCATATGTCAACAGATTTGTTCAAATGTACAATTTGTGTACGACTAGATATTAATATTTAATACTGTGAAAAATATTTGTTTTAAATGTGTATGGTTAAAATTGACAATAATTGGGAACACAACAAATTAGTTAAGTGCGGACTGATATGTAAACATAACAACATTGTTAGACAGTATATACTGCTAAAGTATGAAACACTTTTTTGAACTTTTTTGTGGTGTTGATTTGATTGGTGGTCTTTCAGATAATTGAAACCTTCTTACAATTCGGACAAGTTCATGGAATGATTGATCAATATTCATCCCTGCTTTAGCACTGCATTCAATGTAAGGTATTCTCAGTTGCATGGCCATATTTTGTGCATCTTGTATAGAAACCTTTAATAAAATAATTGTTTCATTAAATTTAATTTTTTTAACAACTTTTTTAACAAATAAAATGTACCATTCTTTGACTACTTAAATCTGCTTTATTTCCAACCATCAGCATTGGAAATTCATCCCTATCTTTAACTCTAAGTATTTGTCTGTGAAATTTTTCCATCTCATTGAAACTAGTTTTATCTGCTACAGAAAACACTAACAAAAACCCTTCACCTGATCTCATATATTGCTCTCTCATGGCACTAAATTCTTCTTGTCCAGCAGTATCCAAAACTAAATAATCATAATGAAATAATTGTTACAAATTTTAATTATTCTTTCATTTTTTTTAAAAATATTTACTATCTAGTTTTGCTGGAACATCATCAACTACACATTGTTTTGTGTATGAATCTTCAATTGTTGGATCGTAGTCTGTCACAAAATATTTCTAAAACATTTTTTGTTATGAAAAACATTGAAGTATATTATGCAAAACTAAGTTCTAATAAAATAAGCTATAAATAATGATTTACCCTTAAAAGTAAATTAAATTTTACACTACTACTTAATAATACATTTTTACGCTAGTAAAATATACTTTAAATTAACTGACACTAATTGCATTATTTACTATAGTATAAATTCTCAATCATCAGAATATTTCAATGATGATTTCATAAAATGTATTTCAGTTTTTACGATATAGTAGTAAAAAATTATATTGTTGATATTGAATTGAATATAACATAATCATGTTTATAGTATTGTTGTATGATATACATATTATTTAAAATATGGTAGTAATAATGTCACATAAAAATCTATATATAAAAATAATTACTTGATCAAAAACAAGATTTTAGTTTTTAGTAGTTATGGATATAAATAGAAAAATATGGTACTATGATTTTTACAGTTGACATCAATGACCTCATTTTTATCGTTTATTTAAACCACATCTAAGCTATATATTCATTAAATTATGATAATAACATTTTTTTTAAATTTTATATACTGTAATATTGTATACATAGTAAATCCATATAAGGAGTTGTGAATTATCTGTGTGACTGTGTAGGTATAATGATGTACCTTGAATTGGACCCACTGGCAAGGCAATGTTCACACCCACATGTTTTGCAATTAGTTGTTGCAATTTAACTACACATTTTTGGTAACAGTCACATCATTATTAGATCATACAAAAATTGGTTTTATCTTTTTAACATTATATATTTTGCTACTGAATGTATTTTTGATAAACAAAATATTATACTTTAAATAAGTTTTATTAATTTATAAATGGTTATTGAACTTATATATCTACTTAGGAAATTACGTTTTAGTGTTACTACAATTTTGGTAACAATATTAATTGTGGAAACCAATTTTATAAATCAAATTAAAAAAATTTTCTTAAAATTAAATAAGTAAACTATGAAAATGTATATTATATTAAAAATAATTATAGTCATAAGTAGAATAAAAAATGAAAGTATAAGCAAATACAAAGACAATTTTGATAATAATTTTAAATTGTATAGTATAATTATAAATAAAGAATAATTAAATTTAAATTACTTCTATCAAAATAATATATCATATTGAAAATTATATGTCTACTTGATATTAATTTAAATAATAAGTAGGTACTTATGACAATATCTTATTTGATTTGAAATCTTTTTCCCATTAAGTTTAGCAAAAATATTATTAAATAAAAATCCTACCAGATTAAGTTAATTCATAAAATAATCACAATTTGTTATTATTTTACATTAGTGATGTATTTATTATGTATTTTGTAATGAGTAAAATATTTGTATCATGACAAATTTATAATAATAAATCAAAATATTTATTTATAATACTAAACTGTGTTGTATAGATTATAATTTTTATAATAAAAAAAAATCAAAATATATTGTTTATGTGTATTAACATTAAAGTCAATAAGTACTAAACAAAAAAATCAGGTTTATGGTTCCATCATAATTAATATGTACATAAACATTAAATACTCGATGTTGTCTATTTCAGTATCGTTAATAAAAGTACCTGTATAAATTGTATGGTAATTGCAGATTTCCCAACACCACCGCCTCCGACAACAACTAATTTGTAGTTCTGATTATAATTAGGACGATTCATCGTAATGCGAAGTGGTATTTTCACTCGATTGAATTTTATAAAATAATATACAAATTGAGGAAAATAATCGTAGTGCGAACGCTATAAAAATTAAAAACCGTTTCACATACTATAAATTTGAGAACTATGACAGGTACAAATATGGAATCTTAACGGAAGCATAGCAGTATATCACGACCAATGTAGACTACTAAACACTAAACAGTAAACGCGGAGTGCGGACCCCAATGGGCAATGAGCAAAGTACCAAACCCAACCGACGGAAAAGGAAAGAGAGCGAAGACCAACAGCTGTCAAAACACTTGTGAGTTGTGACACACTCCGTCTACTGCTCGTGTGACACAAACTTTGCCTGTATGCCAAATAAAAAATACTTTAACAAATGGACACACTGTGCAGTGTGCACATTTTTACTTTTCACTTTCTTTAACGATTATTCAAGGCCGTTTATCTATGGTCAATGAATTAACTTAATAGTTAATACTTATGCTTCTGTAATATTATATCTGATCATGTCTAGTTTTAATCTTTTATACGAGTTCACCATTACTACTGACACCATTTACGACTACACAGAGTTTAATGGTTCTGTGGTGAAGGACAAATGATCATAGCTTGCTATTTTTTATATTAGCTTATCCATTTTAAATTGTTTGATATCTAAATTCAACGCCCTAAAAATAAAAAAGGACGGAAGCGCCTAGTCAATAGAAAAGAGTAATACCATTGAATAGATGATAGACATGAAATGAACCACTTAGGCAAATGCAAAACGTTGATTACTGAAATAAAAAGCAAATATGCGTCTATGCAACTAAAAACTAATGCAAACAATTTTTTTAAGTAAATTATTAGCTGACAGCATGCTATGTGCCTATTCTGTGTCCGTGCCCCGTGGGCGATCTCGAATTATGTTATCATTAACTATTGATAAGTTTAGTTATTTAATCAACCAAGGTCCAACTATATTTAGAGGTTAAACCATTACCGCAGTAACGTGGTTTTGACAATAAAGTTTTGTAAACGCACTACTTATTCCTTAACCTATACTGTTGCTAACTCCTAACATATCTGCCATTTGGTTTCACGTCGCACGTGAAAAATTTGTTCGCGTTGTTTTTAATATTAATATTCCATTATAGTTTTATTAAACTAAAATGGCACCCAAACATGGTTTGTTCAACAAGGTATGTATTAAATGTTTGACAACTAACATTAAAGGCCGTTTATATTGTAATATGTTCATTTTCTATCACTGTTTTATGGTTATCTTTTGCTCTTATATTTTGAGCTACGTATTACTAGTTAAATTATAAAATTCTGTTCAATTTCCTATCATTTACATGATTAATTTAATTTAATACCCTAGATCCTAGCAATTTTTTTTTGTGTTTTAGTTATTATTAACATTTAGTTGATACACGTTCCATTGCATCAATTTTCTTTTTCATTTACTGTATAATATGTTTATTACTTTTTAGCGCATTTACATAGATGCAAAAGAACATTTGCTTGGAAAGTTGGCTTCATATGTAGCCAAAGCAATCCTGCAAGGAAATAAAGTTGTTGTTTTCAACTGTGACAAAATAAACATTGCTGGTAGTTTTTACAGGTTTGTAAATTATTTGTTCTGTAGATACTTGATACTTAATACTTATTTTTTTGTTTAGAAACAAGATTAAGTACTTGTCCTTCTTGAGAAAGAGATGTAATGTAAACCCAGCTCGTGGACCTTTCCATCACCGTGCTCCCAGATGTATATTCAGAAGAACTGTTCGTGGTATGTATTTTTTTTTTTTTTTTTTTGTATTAAATGTTTTAGTCCTACTAGTTATTATTTAATTTAGAGATAGACGATTCAAAATTACTTGAGCAACCATTATTTTACAACTTAAAAATCTAGAATGCCAAAGAATGTAGAGATAAAAATTAAGGTCAACATTTTCTTTTGGTTCGTATCATGTTTTAATGTTAGAAAAATATACAAAATTAAAATGCAGCTAAGCATTCCAATTATATAATATAATTTAAAAATGTAGCACGTACCTTTTATAAAAAGTATGAGGTAGTCAGTTGCACATATCTTATTTAATATTGATATTATTAATTTAAGTTATACGAAGTTGAATAATACTATTTTACTCAAAAACCTTGATTTTAAACAACCTTTTTTTATTAATTTTACTTAAGCATGTTAATGGAAATTATTATTGTGTATAGCTCTTTTATGATTTCAAAATAATATCCTTACTTACATTAATTGAGACTTGTCTTTGAAAATAAAATGTTGATGAAAAGAGATATATTACATTTATTGAATTTTATTGTTTGATTAATATTAATAATATTAACTATTTTATAATAAAATGAATAGATTAATAACGAATAGCCTAACTCCATTTATTAACGTGTGTTTTTAGAGTTTTATTGTTTTTTGTATTATATTAATACAAATAATATTCTAAATAATTGTGTTCGTGATTGTGTTAACATAAACAATATAAATATTAAATTATTATTTAAATTGTATTAAAACGTAGAATAGTTTTGATTAAAAAAATTAATATTTTAATTATTATACATTCAGCTATAAGAATCAGGATATGTTTTCTATGATTTTCAAAAATTATTAAACCTTACTTACATTATTTGAACTAAGTTAATTTATGAAAAAAAAATAATGTATTATGAGAAACATAGTTCTTATAAATTTAATATTAATGTTAAGTATTAGTTTAACTCTTTAATGATTATTAAATAATTCCTTACTTACATTAATTGAAATGAAAACCGTGAAAATGACATTAATATGAAAAGAGTTATAACTAATTAACAGTAAGTCTTAAATTCATTTTGATAATAAGTTATAAAATATTTTTAAAACTTATTCTTCTATGATTATTAATATTTTTACCTTACCTACATTACTTGAGGTTATTATCATATTCTATGAAATATTTTGTTAATGAGAAGACAATTAAATATTAATTGATTGCAATATCATAAATTATTTTAATAAACTATAATTTTAATCTAGATAAAGCATATTTAACGTCATAAAAAACAAAAACTAGTTATAAGTACATAAAATATTTACATAGCAATACTTCTTTGTTAATTGCTTTTTCAAATTATTTTATTTTCTATTTATTTTTAAATTTATATTTTGATATACTTAAAAATTATTCTAAAATAAAATATATTTATATTTTTAAGTTTTATTAAAAAGATTCATGATGTATTGGCTTTTATATTTAACCATTAATGTATAGTGATAGTTTAAACGTCTATTTGTATTTGGCTAATATGGAACTTAACATTTAGTTTATGGCGATTATAATATAGCTATAAAAGAACATAATATTATATTGTCAATAAATATTGCATTATAATACACATTAAATAAAATATTATTACTAATAATGATAAAAATTTTAAGTACTATTCAAATTCTTATTTTTTAATTATTGTTTGATATTTTGATCAAATATCTTTTAAAATTTACAAACACATAAATAACATTATAATGACATACTTATTTATTCTTTGGCATTTTAGCTAAAAATTATAAATTATTTCAATTCCAATCAAAATAATCAATAACCTTAACTGACAAAATTGAAATAACTTAATATAGATTCATATTTTAAAAATATAAAATGTTGGCTAGTAAATAATGATTACATCATATTAACAGTTAAACTTAGTTCTATATTAACTAAAAAGTATTTTAATTTTTTTTTTCAGGTATGATCCCGCACAAAACAACACGTGGACAACAAGCCTTAAGACGTATGAAGGCATATGAAGATATCCCAGCTCGTTATACATCTCAAAAAACAATGGTTGTACCTTTGGCTATGAGAATGTTGAGTCTACAACGTGGACGTAAATACTGTGATGTGGGTCGTTTATCACATGAAGTTGGATGGAAATACCAACATGTAGTCAAAGACTATGAAGCTCGCCGTTTGGAACGTGAAGCTAAGCGTGCTCAGCGTTTGAAGATCAGACATGTAAGTTAACTCTTAATGATAACTAATATTAATATTTTATGAGTATTGTTATTTATTTTTAAGATCATTTTTTTTAAACACATCAAATATTCTAATTTATGCCTGAATATTGATTTTAATATTGATTTAAAATTTATACTTTCATTACGTTATGTTTATAGTTATTTTTTTTAAATGTTGTGATTTTATATTTCTTTACTACAAAGTGAAGTTTATTATTTTTTATCTCTGAAATTAAAGTAGGCCATTTTTGAGATTATTAATCTATTCTCATTCAATTTTTTTTTTTAATTTTTAGAAATTGACCAGAGAAGCCAACAAGAAGGTTAAGAAAGTAGTTGAACCATACAACCAAGTCCTGAGGGATAGCGGTTACTATGTTCCAGCTTTAGTTTGAGATGGATTTTTGTGACAATAAAAAAAAAATAAACAAGAAATGTTTGTAATTTGTCTTATATATTTCAATTCCTAGCATCTTATAATGAGTTGCTTAAACAATAATCATTCTACTTAATTTATTTGAATGAAAAATAAATAAATGATTTTATTGTTGGTATAATTTAAATTAAAATATTTGTGGTGGTGATAATAGCATATGTACATACAGCTACACGTCCCACATAATTTCATGCTAATATATTCATTTAATTTGTAGAATTTATAAAACAATTAAATTTCAGTCATTTTTTTTATGAATTTAATTTTGAAAATTTTAGTCATTAGTTGTGAGATCTTTTCTAATGTGGTAGAGGTTCCCAAACATTTTATGGCAGGCATGTCAAACTCAAAGTATCAGGGGGGCCAAATATATTAAAAAGTTTACTATTTGGGCCGCACATAAAAATTCAGCAAAATATTAAATATTTTGTACAAATAATTAATCTTTGTTTTATAATCTATATAGATATAAATATATATAAAACCATCAATAATTCATATTCGATTATGGTTTATCAGAAGCATTGATAATCAATGTCAGAAGATAAGACAGTATAATAATGTACCAAATAAACCACTCTAAGAATCTAAAATAATCGTTACACAACATTAATATTTATTTTTTTTGTCCATTAATATTGGTAGCCACGGACCACAAAAAAATGAGCCACGGGCCGTGTGTTTGACATACCTGTTCTATGGCATGATCCATTTTGGAAACTCTAAATTTTTTTTGTCTTGTGACCTTTTTTTTCAATTTCAATGACCATATGTCGAAAAAACTGTATTATTTAAAAAACAACATAACCTGTTGCTCATAGTTTAGGAACCTTTGTAGTATGCTATGTTTTTGGAACATGTATTCTGCTATGTATAACTTAGTTGATAAAAATCAGGTAGCTAGTAAGACTATATCTAAATATATCCAAAAATATATTATTCATAGAAGTATTTAATATCAATATAGATAACTTAGAAGTTTAGAAGTTAGGTGATAAAAGTTGATTAAACTATTCATTAGTTTTAATACATGTAACTAAAACTAAGAAATGAGCAAGTTTTAAATAGTTGCCTACACACTTGTGGTAAATAACGAGTAAACATTGTTGAATAAGTCAGTTTATTGTAAACACTAAATTTAAATTTAAATTCAATCATATAAATCATTATTATCATTGCATATAAATGATTTCAGACTAAAGGGTTTGGAAAGTTTGTCAGTCTATGTTAATAATTGTAATTTATAATTATGTTGGTAAAATAATAATTTACTTTATTTGAATATTGCTATTGTTTTGCTTAATTTTTAAGAAAAACATTGAATTATCTTGGTATGAATATTTAACTAATATATTATATACCATCCTTGAGCCAATGCTGTATAAATAGCCAATAGCTTAAAATTTATCCAATATTTTGAAAATTTCATTGTGTATAGTAATAATTTATATATGTATGTTAATCTTAATAATTCCCACCAATAATGTTTTTAAATAACATTAAAATGACTAAAATCGTTGTTTATTTATTATATTTTTAATTTACAATAGAAGAAACTGCCAAAACCCTTTATAAACGTTTCCGCTCCCGATTGACAAACCACTCCAATCCACTAATCTCTGCCATTGATTCCGTCACCATTCTTGGTAACCCTCCTCGTCGACTGATGAGAAAGTGGTGTAGTAGAGACTTAAATATCAATTAGCTAAATATATAAGGTAAATTTAAATTCAACCTAATCATGTCATAAAGTGTCGTCATTGGGTGGCTGCTTTTATCACGATTATGTCAAGCTATATTATATATTAACGCATGCGTACTTATTGTAATAATTTATTTACAGGTTGTACGCTTTAAAATTAAAAGTTATAAAGAAAAAAAAATTATTTTTAATTTTGTCCAAAATTACAAATTTAAACAACAAGTACATATCAATGATTATTAATTTGTTATAATTTAAAAATATTGTTCGCAAGGTCTTAAGACTTTTATGTATTTATATAGTGAAATACATTTATTTATAGATAATAGAGGTACCTAACCTATTCGAACTGTTAACTAATTCATATTTTTATAATAAAGTAATATTGACTTTATGGTTATTAACAATTATATACTATCGTAAAAATATATATTGTTATTATAATAACTATAGGTATTAATAATATTTTAAAAAACTGTGTTTTCGACAAAAATTAAATCAATTACTGTGTTCCGTGCATACATTCAGCAATCAAATATTTAATAATTTAAATAAAAATATATCAATGAACATTAGGTAATACAAGCTTAAAACAAAGTATAAGTTTGGAGAGTAAAATAGTGGTTAAGTAGTTGAAAGTGTTCAGGTCATAACGGCTATGGTACATCTGATAATGCTGCTTCCTGGGCTCCTTTATAAATGGAATATGTTCCTTATTATGACATCCCACGTCCTTGCATTTTGTAGGTATCCTTGGAGTTGTTTTGATATTTATTGTATAATAACAACCTCCTGAATGCATTTTACTCCTAATTGTCAACACATACCAGTGTAATCTCTTGTTGCATAAAGGTGACCTCGATGATGCAGTTGCACCTTAATCACTGACACGTGCAAGGAGTATATTATTATAATATACACCAATATTTCGTAACTTGTGACAACCGTAATATAATTTCTAGTTAAATAAAAAAATAATGAAAAATTGTAGGCTTATAAACATATTGAAATACAAACCAAATTTAAAGTCATACAAAACAGTAAATAATAACAATATAATAAAATACTATTGGATGATTCTGAGTCATATGTCGAATTTAACAGGAGATGACTACTACCACATTCAAACAAAGGTTTTGACAACATACTTAATTCAAAAAGATTTATCGATGTGCCATATCATAGTTATGTAACAATATTACATTACATAACATAAATCATTTAAAGATTTTCAGTTTAGAAATATTCAATAAAATATTCAAGTATGAACTGGGCCAAGGATATAAGTATTACTTATGGTGGAGATTGGAGGGCTTAGTTCCCTCCACAAAAATAAATCAAAAAACCCCCAATATTATTGAATATTGTTCAAAATATTAAATAGGTATCTATTTTGCGAAAATGCAAAGAAAGATTTAACACCCCCCTCCCCCGAAAATTCAATCAAATATCCAACTATGATAAGTACTAATGCTTATTAATCTATAACCACTTCTAGTATTATAAAAGGTTGAATTAACAGGTCAATGAAACGTTTTAGATTATTATAATTTTTGTTGATCTACGCATTACTGTAGTCAAATTGCCTATACATTGCGCCGAATAAGTCTTATACTCAAATAATGTCATATTATATCTTTTATATATAAATAAATCTCGTATTATAACAGAAAATGTTTGTCATCAAACTCCTCCGAAACGGTTTAACCAATTTTCACAAAATGTTGTGTGTATATTTAGTAGGTATGAGAGAGTAATGCATACTATTTTTCATTTGAAAAAACAATTATAAGAAAATAATATATAGGTACTCAAGCAAGACCGGAGCGAGTCAAAAATGTCTACCGGGAAAATAGAAAAATCAGCCCACTTAAGAAAACCTATAAAAACAACCTTAAAAAAACATGTACTTCCACATAAAATGATTGTATATTATTTTAAAGATTTGAATATTTAAAATTATTATCAAAAATTAAAAAAATTAGAAATTGGTTAATACAAAGAAATGTTATCATTTTTATTTGAAATACATATGTTTAGGCTCCAGAATACACATTAATACATATTAAGAAATTTGTTAAGGTTTTAGCTTTTTTGCGAAATTGTGTCGATTATGATTTCATTATCCATGCAACGTCATCAAAATATCAGATTCAGCAGAAATAAGCATAAATGATGCCATTGGACAGTTTTCTAAATTCTAATACAATCGTATTAGAAAATGTGTCAATATCTGTCGACAGAATGAGCCTTAACCAATGAACCTAAAAAAACACGTCCTTACAAATACAAGCGGGCCACCGGGAAACTTCTGGTATCCAGCCTGCCCCAGCTCAATCCTGTACTCAAGGAATTAATATATTAATTTTCAAACACATACATGTATTGAAATATTGTACACGATTACCAACGGTTAAAATTGCGCGTTGTAATTGTGTATATTTCATTATTCAAATAAATATCATTGATAACAACGAAAAATCAATTACCTGATAAGTTTGAAAGGATAATGATGAAACCCTTAACAACAACTGCTTTTTTGTTGTCGCCATAATGTGCACTTTTTAATTGTTTTAATTAAAAATATTCTATGTTTATTCATTTATATGTGCGTGTATTATTAAGCTCTGTACTCGTGAAGAAAAAAAAAACAATAAACTATTAGTTATTACTAAGTTACAGAAGATACACCATATTTTTATTATTATTATTATTATTATTCATTATTTATCTATTTATTTATTTCCATAATAATAATAAAAATGAAAAAAAAAATAATATTTAAAACATAAGTGCAATCGATCAACTAAAAATGAAACGTTAGTGATATCGTCTTGGAATTATAGGCCAAAATATTGAAAAAATAAAAGTGAAAAGAAAAATAGCGAAAAAAATAAAAGCTAAGTTTATATAATTACGAAATCAAAAATAGCGAAAAAATATTATTATATAAGTAATAAGTACAAGTATAAAAATATACCTAATATAAAAAATTATTCACAAAATCAAAGTTACATTTGTAGAGTTAAGTGTTGTAACTTGTAAGCGATACCTTTTAAATAATTAATGTTGTCGTTAGTATTGTAAGATGAGGTTAAATTACGTATTTTTTTTGAACAATCTTTATATTTTTTTTTTTTATATTTTTTGGCACCAGCAATGAACTGTTCCTGTTTAATATCCTCTAAATGTTGTTGATCTTTCAATACATCGATAAATGTCCATAATGTTGGATGATATGCACCTAAAATAGTTAATATTACATTATACATTATATTGAATTAAATATATAAATTTAATAAAATATTTTAAAAACTAACCAAGTAATGAACTAAAATCTCTATGCCAACCCTCTACTGCATTGTTAGTCCTTGGCAATAAAGTACTTGCCGATTCGTAACAATTCCATAAACTTATTGAATACTTTGGTAATCTACGACCTTTTCTTCGACCCATTGGGCGGCCTACCCAGGTGTCTTCAAAGTAGTCAATAAATGGTTGTAAAATTTTTTCGTTATCTGTATAGTATTGTGAATCTATTAATTCTTCAAACGCATCCATCACATGATTTTCTGGTACATATGCTAATGCTAATAAGAGTCGTATCTGTAATGAAAATGTCGAATCCGATATATATTTTTGGGCCATATGTTGAATTTGTTGTATTTTACGCCAAATACATTGGAAAAAATGGAAATGGCATCCTTTTTGTTTTAAATTTGGAAATACTTCTTTAAATGCATTAATTGATGCTATTTCAAAATCTGACATAATTAATTTTGGTGATAAAGTTGATTTAATTTTTTAAAATTGATTTAGGTGGTATACATATGTTTTTTGTCATTTATTTGGTAATAAAGCGTAAACAGTAGGTATCAACGAATTGGCTGTTAATACATGTATTGTGTAAATTTGAGTAAAAAATGTCAGAGTGCACTTAAATGTACCATTAACGAACCAATTATTAAATTTTCCCATTAATTCTAAATTTTCTTTAGTAAAAAATATTAAAATACGTTCATCTGATGAGCCGCTATCGTACTGCATGAATTGCCTTCCGTCTTTAGTTAAAGTATACCTTTCAGGTATTTGTAAGTTAAAAAGTGACTGAAGATTCGGCGGTGCACAATCATTACGTTGGCGTACTCTTCTTAACGTGTGTTTTAAATTAGATAATTCGGGTAATGCACCTAATATCACTGGATTTAATTGCGATGAAGCGATTATTTGTCGAGGGTTATCTTGTGACGACAGTGCTTAGGATTTCATTCTCTCGAATTCTTTTTTTACTTCTAATTTGCATACATCTGGAACGTGGTTATGCTCTGAAAGCTCTTTTTAATTTTATTATCATTTTTAGTTGTTAATCGATCTTTACATTGCATATCTATACATTTTCAATACTTCGATTCCTTGTATATTTTTTCCTTTCTATAAGTATAACTATTATACACAAGTAAAAGTTTATTTTTATTAGATTTAATAAATTCCATAACTCAAAAATCAAATTTAAAAAATACAGGTTCAAATAGAATATAAGAAATAAAATAATAAGCACAACACTAAGTCAACGATTGTCACGATGTCGAACGTCGTACAAAACTATGTAATATCCATATAGTATAGGCATTTGATGTACAACACTATTCACGATAAAAGCGATCACGGATATTACCTTGAGTCATAATAGTAATAATAGACTAATAAAGATTATATTTTTCCCTATTCTCTGTTTAATATTTTCTATAAAAACAAGAGTTTTTCCCTAAACATTCGATATATTATTTTTCGCTTTTTTGGCCGGTTATCCGTCTTGGATAAACGAATACCACGCATGTCAATTATAGTTATCTACATATTCAGCCTTTGTCTTTTCGTTATTGTATTTATCGTCCTTCTCCTCGTCGACATTTTTGTCGTTGTCATCTTCGCTGTCGTCAATGCTTTCGAAGCAAAATGAGTACCTATTATGAATCGCCACACATTTTTACGTACCTTATAAATTTCGCACGAAGCACATCAGACGTGCCTGTTTTAGCCACGTTCCTACACGCTGAAGAAGATGAAATCGAAATAATCATTGTTATGATAGATCTCCTCCAGTCTTCCAGTGTCCCGCCTTATGCCTTTACAGCGTTGATGGAAAAGTCGACGGTATCGCGTCTTTACCCATGGTGGCGGTTGTGACAGTGTAGTAGACCGATCGCTGAGGTATCTGTACCTATTTTGTACTGGCTATGACGGCGACGTCCGCTCACGCCACGACCACTCACGGAACGGGAACTAGCGGGGCTTACATTAAAAATCCCTGCAGATCATCGTTTATTTTAACACGACAACAATATATCTATAACAACAAAGTATCAAATAATACTTACATGTTATTAACAAGAGAAAGGGAGACCAGCCTACTCTTCTAAATTTGCCTAGTTGGCTACAATACCTAAAGTCTTAACTAAGCATTCCGTTCTTGAGCTTGAGTTTGTATCGTCCTTTTATCGCCACTTCCTTCTTTTCCAACACATTCTTGATGAATTTCTCTACAATGTCCCACGCTGCTCTGGACTAGACCATGGTATCCATCACCGTCGCCGGTATCAGCTTCCGCTCAAACGCCACTGCAAGGTCTCTTCTGTGCGTTCATCATTTATCGCACATTCACACTGGAAAAAGGTGTGTCCACCTAGTCAGACGTGTGTTGACAATAGAAGCACAACGCATCATTTATCTTCTTGAAACGGTGTAATAGTATGTATTAAAACACTCATGACCGGTTAAGAATTGAGTTAGATGGTACCCGACTTTGCCATGCTATTCCTTCTTGCCCATCTCTCCACGTTAGATATTACTCCGAACGTCCACCGACCATTATTCATCGCTGTCTATTATGTCTGTCATTGCTGATATATCGTGTCCTCGCTTCTTGCTTTGTCCTGTCTGCCGGCATCCCGTTATCTTTTGTTAAACCGGTTTGCCCCGTGCGCGCGCCTATTATGACGATAGCATTCATTCGTATGTATAATATGTATAATGTATATGTACAATATACTCTCATATTATATTTAATTGAGGTGTGTATACTTTAAAAATTTGTAACAATACAATCATTTTTTAATTTTTTGTAGAAAAAATTATACATTTTATTCGTTAAATAGAAGCGTTTTTGAATGAAAATATTATAGTTTCATAAAATGTTTCGTTACAAGAAATGTTACATTTTAAAAGTTCCAGTGGCTGCAGTAGGCAGTATACCTAAAGAGTATTAGTCTCCAATACTTGTTTAATAAGGCGATTTTAATGGATCACGCCTAGTACCAATATTTTTTTTTAATTTTATTGATATTTTCAAGTAGGTACAAAGTAATATAACTTATAATAAAATTTTTCAAAACTTATAATATGATGTAATTTGTGATTAATTGTCTATTTTGGTTTCAGGACTTTGAAAATCGTAGGGAACTATCAACTAATTATGAAACTCTTATGTTATGCAAATATTTATTAAAAGTTAATATGAATTAAGAATATTAAATTATTAACTATCATAATTTATAATTAAATTTGAACTGAAGAATTAATATATTTGAATACCGGTAATTTTTGTTATTAGGTTGGTATCTTATAGCATCACAGTTGAAACTTGTTTAGTGAGATTTTTAATTTTCTAAATTGGCAGTTGTGAATTTAAAAAGCCCTATTTTTTTTTTATTATTCTTATCATATCATTTTGTTAGATTATGGTAGGGGCACAGAATAGATAGTAGATAATACATTACATTGATAATACAAAATTAGTAAAAGTACTAAGTACAAGTAACTATAAGAAGTTAAATTATTAATTACCGTGACGTAAGAATTAAGCGACTTACGTGTTGGGAGTTACGACATTACGACAAACCATGACAAAAATAATAGCGCTATAACTATTTATATTCTCTAATTACTATAACTTATACTTACCAGATAACTATAAGTATTAATAATGAATTAATAATTTCTAATAAGACACCTAAAATAACGAGTAAATCGTAAATTAATAGTCTTTTATCACTCGAACGGTGCAGTGACATTTTGTTTAAATTGCATATAGTTTTTAATATTAAACTAATATCGTCATTCATCTCTAGGTACTTTAATAATTATTTTTTAAATAATTACAGGATTAGATTAGTTTTATAGTTCTTCAAATTCTAATATTTTTGCTCTTGACTCGTGTAATTTTGTTATAGTTTTATAAAATGAGTTATACCAATAAAGTTATTCATAGTGGTTATTTTAATGACACTCTAAGACAATGGCAATGCCAAAACACTCAAATTACTCCTTTAAATTTAATGTATCCTATTTTCATTTTGTAAGTTCCTTCACCACAGATTTTAATTAATTATGGTTTTGGAATAATTAAAAATATATACTTATTAGAGATGAAAAGGATGTAAGGGAAGAAATTAAATCAATGCCAGGTATCTATCGACAAGGATTAAACCATGTCAAAGCCATGTTGGATCCAGTTATTGAGTCAGGCCTTAAATCTATATTAATTTTTGGTGTGATCAATAAGCTACCAAAAGTAATTTATTAAATTTAACTAGTTTTATGAAAAAACTATTTATAATTTTTCTTTTAATCAAAAGGATCAATATGGAACACATGCTGATTCTATTGAAAATCCAGTTATTCAAGCTTTACCATTATTGAAAGAATGGTACCCAAATCTTGTGATAGCTTGTGATGTAAGTAAATATATAACTGCCATTTAATAGTATAGAAAATAATGGTTTCAGTAATACTAGTAAAAATAAGATTTTTTTTAAAGTTTTAACATGAGCTTACATTCTGTAGCTCTCACATCTCCACATCATTAATAAATGTTTTTAAATTTATAGTAACATGTGAACATTTAAAAAATATTAGATAAATACATATGTTATTAAAATTATAAAGAAAATTTAAATCACTGAGAGTTTATCAAAAAAAAAAATAACAATAAACAAATATTTCTGATTCTAGGTATTCAGATTTCTATAAGTGTTTACTAGGTTATATTCAATACACTATTATGAGTATACATTAATACCGCTTAATAGGTAATGTCTTTATCTAATAATAAACATTTTGGAACCTTTTTTTTTGTTTTAAAATGATTGATATATCTAATTTATTTTAAGCTTAAATATAATGTATATTTATATACACAAAAAAAATGATTACTTTAATGTAAAACACTAACGGTTTTATTATTATTAAAAATCTCTCACGTTAAATTGATCAATCTATATGCTTAATGAGAGATATATGTACCTAATTTTTTTACTGTGCAGACAAAAAGTAATATATTTAACATGTACTTAACTAAAACCTTTTAAGTTATTGTACTTGATATAATAATTAAAAATATTATTTTGACTGTTATTAATATATTATAATTTTAGGTATGTTTATGTCCTTACTCGTCTGATGGACATTGTGGAATAATTGAAAACAGGCAAATAGACAATGTGAAAAGCATAAAAAGGATGGGAGAAATAGCATTAGCATATGCTCTTGCTGGTAACCATAATAAATTGATTTTTATATATTTTTATAAGATTTGATCAGTAACTCATAACTTATTTAATCTACAAGAGTCTAACATTTTTTCTAAATATTCTTGTTTTACTTAATAGTATTACATTGTAATAAGTCTTATTTAAAATTATTATTTAAATAAATAGAAAAAAAATATTTATTAACTTAAATTAAAGGTCTGGTTTTAGTATATTCTTGAAAAATGTTGAACAATTTTCTTCAATTATTTTAAATTAGTTAATTTTTGTCTACATAGCTATTTGATTGTCTAAGATAACTGATTATTCAGTATCATAATTCGTGAAATATTACTTGTAACAATTAGTATTGTAATAAAAAATTTTATTTAATTGATTTTTTTTTTTTTTTGTGAAAGAAAGATTGTATAACCATTATATGTAATTTCTAGGTGCAGATATCGTGGCTCCATCTTGTATGATGGATGGGCATGTAACAGCTATTAAACAGAGTTTAATGAAAAATAATTTATTGAGTCGAGTTAGTGTTTTATCATACTCTGCAAAATTTTGTTCTGTATTCTATGGACCATTTAGAAATGCTGCAAATTGTGCGCCAAGTTTTAGTAATCGCTCTTCATATCAAATTCCTGTAGGAAGTTCAAGCATTGCAGAAAGAGTCGTGGTAAGTAATATAACTAAATAGGCTGTATATAGGAAAGATTTTCTGGGGACCTAAACCCCAAAATATAATTTTTTATATACACTTGAAGACTATGTAATAGTAATATGATTGTGTGCAAGTGTGCAACTGTATTTTAGATAACAATGACTCAAAACTTCAACTTAATATTATACCTTTGTAATAAATATAATTGAGTTAAACAGATTCTTAAATTATTAAGAAAGTTTTTTCATTGAATGAAAATTATACATTTTTTATTTATTTTTGCATGATAAATGGGATAAACCTTTTTATAAAATACAATAATCTGAATAATAATAATAATATTTAGTATTACAGTAATGGTAATTAACATAATATTTTATAACTAATTAATGAATATAAATACAATTATTAAATAAGATTAATTTAATAAAATGGAATAAATAATAATAAAAAAATAATTTACAATTTAATTTAAAGCTAAATATGCATTACTTTAAAAATACTATGTAATAAGAAAAAAAGTCTATGTAATCCACAATTTGTTTTTCTAATGTTAATAATCTAGGGAAGAAAGTAACAGAACCATAATTATATTTATATAAAAAAAATATGGAACTAGTTTATTTTCTTCAATGATTTGTTATAATATTAAATCCTATCATAGAAAGCACTTCTGTAAAATAAATTTGACCGTTTAACAAGTCATAAATAAACACTATATTAGCAACCTTTCTCCTTACATCACTAGATATAACCCTAATACCCTGATTTGCATGCTATATGAGTTTTTATAATAAGTGGTATATTTAATTTGTAACTTGAAAACTTCAAAAATTTAAGTTGTACATTTTCAATAATATTAATGGAAGAGTTATAACTAGGCAACCATATTGTTAACCCAAACTCAAGATATGATGAATGTGAAAAGAAAAGAATTTTTAAGACAATAATATTTTGAAAATTACTTGTATTTTGATTAATAAAACCTAACAATTTAAGATTTTTTTTTACTACAAGTATTTATGTCAGATGTGAAAGACAAATTGTTGTCAAAAATAATTCCTAAGTCTCTAACTGAAGTAATTCGAGTGACAGAACTGTTTAGTGATTTCTATTATATAATCATGGTTAATATTTAATATCATTATAGGTATGTAAAAATATTGTAATATTAGATTTATTTATATTCAATGGTAAACCATTTTGTCAACTCTATATTATACATTTATCCAACTTTGCTTATACAATTAAGTTATTAACTGAAGAATTAATTGTGAAAAATATTTTTGCTAAATTATAAAACATTTAAAATGTATTAAATACTGTTAATTCTTTAACTTTTGGTGTTAGCCAATTATTAAAATTTAAGTAATACATTTATGAATAGTAAAATCAAATAGCAGCTTAATAATATTTTATTTTACACAAATGTTTGAAAATCATTTATGAAATAAATAATTTGTTTATTTCAAATCTTAATTATACTATTTTATCATTATTAATAATGTACTAAGCAAAATATTTTGAAAATTACTTTTATATAATTTTAGGATAGAGATATTTCTGAATCTTGTGATATGACTATGGTTAAACCCGGTATGATGTACTTAGACGTTGTAAGAAAAGTTAAGGATAAACATCCAAATATACCAATATTTATTTATCAGGTAAATCCTATTTTTTTTTCATTCTATGAAAGATTGTATTAATGTTTATTTATTTAAGGTGTCTGGAGAATATGCAATGTTGTATCATGCTGTACAAGCTGGTGTAGTACAGTTAAAAGAGGGTTTAATTGAAATTTTAAGAAGTATGCGAAGAGCAGGTAAAATATTTGATTAATAAATAACTTATTTCTTACTCTAATTATTTTTTATGCTTTAGGTGGTGATGTGATTGTGACTTACTATACTCCTGAAATCTTAAAATGGCTAAAAGATGTATCAATATTATAAATAATATTATGTATTTTGGTATGGACCCTGGTATATTTACTTTAGTATTATAGTTTTTTTTTGTTTGTTTGAGTAGGTATATGTTAAAAAGTTAGGGTGGCTGTCTATTTGGCAGACGTTTTATTTTTATTTGTCATGCATAATTTAGATAATGGTGGAGTATTTTCCTGGACTAAACTTTTCAAATTTATTTATCATGTGACTGTTATACGGCTGTAAAAAATACTTACATGAGCTCATATTTAGACTTAATTGTAAAATTATAATATTTAGTATATATATATGGATCATTAAAAATTATTTTTTTCTAGTACTTCCATATATGGTTTATTTATTTTTTCTTATAGTTTCACCAATCAGAAGTCTAAGACTAACCAATAAATTTTAATACTTACTACCGTCTTAGTCTATATAGCCCTTATTTTTTGTAGTTAATTTTATTTGGATAAATATATTTTTTGATAATTTGATGATTGAAAATAAAAAAATTGGTACTTTACAAATTATTTTATAATATCGCATATGTTATACTTGTTATCAAAAAAAAAAAAAGATAATGTACTTTATATTAAAATATTAAAACATTATATTTACAATATTAAAACTTTGCTCATTTTAATTTTATTTTTGATTGGTATTTAAAATAAAAACTTTAAATAGTCCAGTGTATTATTTTATTTTAATTAGTTAATTATTAATTTTACATGAGTAATGATTTCTTATACCAAATACATATTAAGTATTGTAAAATGGGTTAAAATAAATTATAATTTACCATAAACTTCAAAAATAGTCGTTATGTAAAACTATTTTCAATTAATCAATATTTATAAGGAATTTTTGTTAATTAAATTAATATTTTATATTAAGGATAAAAATGTATAGGTACTTATTTGGTGAATTGTAATTTAACTCTAATATAAATGAAATTTGGAGGTGCATCGTAATAATCACGGAAAATATATAAAGAACAAAAATAACGTATAGCAGTAATATCAATATATTGGTAAAATCAGTAATCACTAAATTGATTTTTGGAAAAGATCATTTACTGATTTTACTAGCCTCATATAACATGAGTATCTATAACAGTTGTACTAGTAAAACTAAATCAACTTAATAGTCATAAATCTTAACTATTTATTTTTATGACTCTATCACTAATTTCCTAATTTTATGATATTATAAATGTATAAGAGAGGTAAATGTCAATAAAATTGATGTTAAAGATTTGTTTTAGATTTATTTGATGTACATATTTAGTACATAGTTTCTATAGTTAATAAATTCCAAGAAATATATAATATTAACACTTAAATATTTTTATATCATTAACCACTATATTATATTAATTATAAACATATTATAATGTTTAATGAATTTTAAATTCATTCAAAACAGTTTAAATAATACAAAGAATTTTAAATAAGTCAGATGAATACAATATAAAAATAATTAACGAGAAAACAATAAACTAAGTGTCTAAAAAATAAATAGATCTTTATAAATGTTCGAATATTCTAACAAAACAGAATTTATTTACTTTAGAGTTTAAAGATTAAACTATAAAGTAAAATAATAACAAAAAAATAATTAAATAAACAATACATGAATCTATTTAAAGCAATAACTAAAAATAAATATATAATAATTAATAGTCAATAAAAATCAAAGTTCATTTTAAACATATTCATTTTTGAAAACTAAAAAAATATAACAACAGAAAAAAAATGATTGTCGGTAAACATAGAACTAATAAAAAGGTACATTTGTATTGTATCTTAGGCATCATTTTAGATGAAGTGACTAGAAATTTTTAAAAGGAACACATTCTTTTTTAAGAGTTGTAAAAATAATTAATAAAAAATCACTTAACAAATTTGTTGTAACTTATAACATAAAAAAGAAGATAAATAATACCTACCATTTAAAAATGTTTAAAATATAAAATGAAGAATAATTAATTTTTAATACAATTTTGAAAGCAGTTGTTATATAATAATTTTGACACAAGTACTATAGTAAAAAAATTCAATAAAAAATATTTTAAATTTGTAGGCACACATATTTTTCTTATAATAATTATTATTATTATTACTTTATTACTAAAAAATTATTAACTGCAAAAGCTCTGAAATTATTCAGTAAATGTAAATAAATAAATGTATTAGCTCTAAAACATTGTGTTCCGTTCTTTGTCCGATAGTTGATTAATGAACTTAAAAAAAATATTTTATTTGTATAAGATATTTACTTTGTTGAATACACACAACTTAGTGTAAACAATTCTTATAACTACAACAGTATTTAATAAATAAGAAGACAAACGGTGTTGTTATGATAGAGTTACCTTAAAAATTAAATGTATACTTTATATATCAATTGAACGGCAGATGAAATTTGAAATGTTCGTATTAAATTAATATATCTCAGCTACAATCAATCATAATAGTACTAGTATTCTGTGAAGCAATTCGCCTAATTCTTGGCCAAAAACGTCTGGCGGCTTTTCGAGCTTTGCTAATTGTCCATCTGACAACACCCAATTCACAAACTGTAGTATAAATGTACCTCAATACATCAGTAATCATATAAATTAAGGAAAATATTTTAATACGCTAAAATATGTTAACTATTAAGTAAGAAACTACAAGCTATTAGTTAATATATATATTATATATAAGTAGAAAGAAAACACATTTTAAGTTCCTAACCATAAATAATATTTTGTCTCTGTCTAATAAACATACAAGATAGAACAGCAATTTGTGTTCAGTAGAACCAATTATGTGTTAGCTTTAATATTAGAGTTAATTGTCATATCATCGATTCAATAATAGTAAGAACTGTTGTATCTTTGATTCAGAGTTGCCTTTTTTTAATATAGATATGGTAAAAACCTCGAATTTCAATAATTCAATTCAATATTAAAGATAACACAAAATATGTTCTATTGGACGTTAATTTAATATGTTGTATGTTTGTAAGTCGGGAATCACATATGTGAGTGTAGGATCCTTTTAAATAAAAATTAAATAGTCAAGAAAGACAAAAAAGTGGGCTCTCTCTAGGTAGGCGACTGTAAATAAAAAATAAAAATGCCAATCTCCTATGCAAAATATAGCAGTAAACTATTGTACTCTAATAAAATCATAATAAAAGAATAAAAAAAAAATTATTCACACGAATTTGAGATTTTTAGGTTGTAGTCTATAAGAAAAACCTAAATGATTTTATACTAAATTGTCAAGTTTTTTCTATTAAAAAAGAAAATTTTTTACTATAAAGTAATTTATAAAATTTATGATTAATAGATGTAAAAGTTTTAACTTTAAACATAAAAAAAATTATAATTTTGTCATAAATAAATTTTAATGCAGTAGAAATTAATAGAAAATATGCATCTCTCCTCTCAACACACACACATTATTAGTATTTAAAAAAAATTTCAGATAATAAATAATTTATTTTAAAACAGTTTGAATTGTTAATTTTTAATGTAATTAGTATTTATAGAAAACTTACTAAGTTAAATATTGCTTTTCATTTAGTGATGTGGTTTTAGTTTCAATATGTAAATAACATATATTTGAATTAAACAGGTAGATTAAAAAAAAAAAAAAAATGGTTTTATCAGCCACTATTGATACAGATCAGATATCTCCTAAATAAGATTTTATGTATACCTAATAAAATATATTTTATTAGAACTACATACATACATACACATTGTATAATATTTATTATTAAGTTTTATTTAAAAGGATATAAGATCATCCATTGTTGGTGTCCTCCATTTATATACAGCACATATGCAAACCCATCTTTGTTAATTCCATTAATCATATAATAATAAGGATGGAATGAATGTAACCTATATTATACATGGTATGTTAAATAAACAAATGGGTGAAATTATGCTAAAGAAATTTATTTATTTTTACCTGAAACTCTTCCTCTCATAAAAGGAAATTGCAGAAGAATTGCTGGAAAGTACATGTAAAAAAATTGCTTTACAGTTTTGAGATTCTACAGAAGTCAAATGTGATACAAGATTATCTAACAACAATGATGCTATGCCATTACGTCTATATGCTTTAATAACACCTAAACTCAAGATATAACCAACTTGCGTAAATTTTCCCGCAGATGGTGAAACTACTTCTCTTTCCTATAGTACATATACATACATAAATTAATAAGTTAATAATGTATTAAATAAAGTTAAAAAATATTTAATAATAATTTTACCTTGGGAGTTAATTTTATATATAGTTTGATTTCAGCTACTATGATGCCAACAATAGCAGATTTATGAATAGCAGCTAAAGAATAAAACTTCGGATTTGATGTTATGTCTTCATACCATGATCTAGGGTATTCCACAGGGAAACAATCTACACACAAAGCGTTTACCTGCAATAATATTAGTATTTTAATAGATATATAATTAACATTCAATATGTTAATTATAGTGTTACTAATTTATAAAAATATTCATAAAAGTAATTTAAATAATTTTACTTTTGTATTTCATAGGTATAAAATATATATTTTTTTTAATTATTTATATTATCAATATTCAATACCCATAATAACCCTAATGCTCAACGAAAATTATCTAAACAAAAAAAAAATAAGAATACTGAATACACAAATAAAAAAGACTTTCAAGAATAAATTGAATACATAATACCTGCAAATTAATTTTCATTATAAATGAGTAAACTAAAAATCATATCATGAAAATCAGAAATATTATTACATTATAAATAAACTAAAATAATAAATAAATATATTATATAATATATACATTTATCTATAAATTTTTGTTTCACAAAAAAAAAAAACTTAATTTATGATTTTCAATCTAAATATTTTGAATGATTTTAGTATTTTACAATTCTTTAAACAAAACATTTAGAAAACAATAAAAAACAAATACTTATTATAATTCAATAAACATTAACCTAAGCAGAAATTAAAAACACACTATAGAATTTGTTCAGATTAATCAGTTTGTACTTTGTATATTGCCGTTTAATATATTATGTAGGTAAATAGTAAATTACTTCGTTGATATCTTGAGGGCACAAAAATCTTAACTGTAAATTTGAAAGGTCATATAAACCTACAGGTTTGATTTGTTGCAATGATGAAGTTTTCTCCAGATACCTAAAAAAAGAAGAAAAAACTTATTCAATAACATTTACTTTTTCTTCAATCAAAAAAATAAAGTGTTCCATTACCAATTAAACGTATCCATTCAGAAGACAGGATCCATTCCGTGGAGAGAACAAATTTAAATAAAACACTACCTCACTCAACTTGAATGTACGATTTTGTAACTAACATATTTTATTACATATTTAAAAAAAAAAATTCAAAAAATGAATAATATTTCCAAAAATATTACGTTTGCAAGTAAATTATTATTGTTTACTATCTTGATATCAATTTATTATCTATGGTTATCACAGGATTTCAATTTTAACATGGTCCTCAAAATGTTTTTAATTTTTATGTACCTATTCATAACTATAAACTATTAACTATTCCAGTTCGTGAGTTAAACTATCTTCTAAGTTTTAAAATCACGTTTTAGTAATTTACTTATTAATATATTATGTATTAATCTCAGTACAAATAGTATGATGATATATTATTTAGTTATAACAAAATTAAGTGATAATACCAACTTGGCTTGTTTTTTAAATACTTAGATCTAAATTGGTAGTGAAACATGATGCATAGAGAATAATATTATTTATTAATGTAAATTTAATAGTATGTTTAGTTTTACCTATGCTCTATGGTTATATATATTATTATACTATATATAATTACGCTGTAATAGTATAAATAGTATAATACAATAATACAACATACAGTACTACACTGTTGTTAAGTGTTTACTACAATTAAATTCAGCAGGAAGTTAACATAAATAATACTACCTATTATCTACATTCTACATAATAATAATCAGTACCCTAGATAAGTAGGGTTACAAAAAGATACCTAATTATTCAATTAATGAAATGTTGATAGATACTTAGTTATGATATTATGAAACTTATAAAGCTGTACATTTAGGTAAAAAATAGTAGATCCCTGATCCAGGCCTTGATTTTTTTATCTACCTATACATTTTACTAGATTCACAATGTTTTATTTTGACAATAATTTAGCATTATCCCGACTACAGATAAAACAGCAAATAGGAGACGATTGAACGATTCGGATTCCCATCACCTTCCAAATATATTTTAATTTTCACTATGAAAATTCATATATACCTGTTTATTGTATACTTTGTGCAGGCCATCAAGCGTCTTATAAAAAAAAACTTTATGTCATAGTATAGGTCGTAGGAACTATTAATTATACTAAGTATAGTGCGTAAAACTAGGATAAACACTTGCTAACTTGCTTGTCAACCGCCTCAATTATTTTCTTTAATAATTATCATTTATCACATTCTTGATGAAATTCTGATTTTGGAGATTTTAAGTAAATTTAGATGTGTTACATGACTACACCTGTATTTATTGTCTCTGTCTTATAAGCGCCATAATGCCCATAACATAAAAAATTTACACTCAATAGTTCACATTTAACTTCATACAGTAGTTTCATAGTTTCAACGATAGAAATGATAGGTTTATTCTAAAAATTAAAAACTTTAAAATTTGACTACATTTATAAATTTTAGAAGGTAGACTCGTTGAAATATTCGTTTGTAATGTTTGCATCATACAATAAGTACCTACCTAGGTATTTATTTAGTTTACTAAATTTGGACTTTTTTCATGATTGACTGCAACTAAAATGATAAAAATGAAATACTATACAAAATAAATTATACAAATGATATTAAAGACACTAAACTTGGAAAATTATTGAGACATTGAATCGAATACCCAATTTCTAAATTATATTTATAAAATTTTCTATTTGTATACCCAACTAAAAATTGAATAGGTACAACTGAAGAATACAAAACACCTACTTAAAATATGCAATGGATAACAACGATTTCATATGATGGCTTGTGGCTTACTTGCTCACCATGAAACTATATGTGTAGGTTTGTAATTCTATAAAACATGTTCTATTACTGCATGATATTATTAGATAGTTAACTAATAATGGTCATTTAAGGTGAAGGTAAAGTTATACGTAGGTATATAGGTAATCGTGCTACTCATAATATTATAATATACCAGATATACCTACATAGTAGTTCATGGTAAAACTAATTAAAAATAAAACAGACAATCTATTAATTTATTTTATGATATTGTCAATTGACATAATATAATTTATACAGCCCAACTACAGCCGTAGGCTGATAGAAATTTTCAAAGAGGACATTTGAATTTTAAATGTATCGACGCGTATAAACTATAGGCCTAAAACGGAGCTTCAAGATGTTATATTTGTGAAATGCAGTGTGAATTTTACATTTACGATATATCAGTGAAATGTAGGTAGGTACCTGACCTGTATGGCTGTATGTATCGGACATTCGAGCTAGAACCTTGATACAAACAGAACTACCACAAGTCACAGATTCTGTGTGAATACCTACGCACCGATACATCATATCGAATTTTACTGGTTAAAAATCTTAAATCAAGACTATTATGTAAGTTTTTTTTTTTTTTTTTATTTATTAATATAATTGTGTCAATACACCAAGTATTTTTACAATGTTACTATTTTACAGATTTTTAAAATTTATAATAAAAATATTATAATATTATATAATGTATAATAATTTGGTCAGCTATGAGTCTTGATCAGAATCTAAGGTTGAGGTTTCTTCATTGGGATCTAGTAGGATGTCCTGAGGTAGCCGAGGTTTGAGTCTTAGATTTGTGGATTTCTTGCCGATATTGTAGTGGCAAGCTCCGTCTCGTAAGTTAATTGTAATAATAATAATTAATTAACTATAAAATATATCGTATAAACACTATAAACTTAAATCTAAAAATAACGCAATTAGTTATTACACAAAATAAAGTAATTACTTGTTACTTGATTATAAAATATACGATAAATAAATAAATTGATAATAACAAATCATTGCTTGGTCATGATAACATTATGTGAAATTGTGAAGCCGTTTGTCTACCGTTTTTTTTTTTGGGCACCACAACGGGCACAACATTAATCATTATTATATTTATTAGATGACAGTAAATGACGGATTCATGTTTTTTTATTTTATAAATCAATACATCTAATAAAGTTTTAAATAATTATACAATTATAAATTAATAATAATCAATATAATCTGCTCTGCAATATCTACACTACAGTCTTTAAGCAACAGGTAACAAAAATGTTAAATGTAAACATTTTTTTTTTATCATTTAAATAATTTTATTTTGATGAAACAATAAGTATGTAAATCTCTTGTACCTGGTATAAGTATTCTTATATTTTTGTACAATAAACACATAATTAAATACAATTAATCTCAATTAAATTTAAAGTATTTATTGGACACCATTAGACTTTTTAAGATTATAATTTATGATGTTATTATGAATTTAAATAATATTTAATTTAATAAAAACTAACAATAATACTGCTGTAGTCCAGTAAGTAGTTTGACTACTTATCTACGTTAACAATTGAAAAATTAAAAAAAAAACTAAGAATTATATATTAAATATTAATACAAAACTTTTTTATTTCTTTAATTAGTATAATTTTAATTTCTAAATTATTGTTTTTTCTTAAAATATAATTTATTATGTTATGAAAATTGTATTATGCTAAAAAATGATTATTTACTATATCAACTGGTCTTAATGTTCTAACTCTTATTTTTTTATACTGTATTTGTATGATTTATTCATAATATGTTCTTATGTTTTTAAAACTAAAAAAACTAATAAAATAATATAATGTTATAGATATCAAAATAGTTTATTATACATAATATGGAACATCAAATTAATGTCAATGAATCTGAAGCTGAAATTTGCTCAATTAATAAAACTAGACAATATGATAATGTTATAGTCAATAATACTGAATCAGAGAAATTTTCAAATGAGTAAGATTTTAAATTACTAGATAAATTTAATAATCTAATATTATACATTTATATTTATGTAGAAAGCGAAAAGATTATTTAAGCTGGGATGACTTTTTTATGGCAACAGCATTTCTGATTGCTAAACGTAGTAAAGATCCTGTAACACAAGTGGGTGCTTGTATTGTTACCCCGGACAAAAAAATTGTTGGTACAGGATATAATGGAATGCCCATTGGATGTAATGATGACGATTTTCCATGGTGTAAAAATAATCCTTCAGAGTTAGACAACAAATATTTCTATGGCAAGTAGTAATGCTTATTATTATTTCATATTGTGCTAATAAAATAATAAATTTGATTCTTATTTTGTTTTCAGTATGCCATGCTGAAATGAATGCAGTGTTAAATAAAAATTCTATGGATGTACGTAATTGTACCATGTATGTGGCACTTTTTCCATGTAATGAATGTGCAAAAATAATAATTCAAGCTGGTATCAAAGAAATAGTGTATTTGTCTGATAAGTATAGCTCCAAGCCAACAATGATTGCTGCTAAAAGAATGTTTAAAGCGTCAGGTGTTTCAACTAGACAACATATTCCATCAAAACAGCATCTTGTACTTGATTTTTCAGAAATTAATTCAAATATGACACAAATGCCTAATACTCCAGAAAAATCAAATTATAAATAATTTTTTTTAAAGTATAACTATATTTGACTTAATTATAAATTTGATATTATGGCTTTGTGTGGCATGGTGATTGGCCTCAGTCACTAACATGTTCTTAGGTTAAGCATCGTTCAGTGTCGCTAGCCTTTGGATGCTAGATGAATGATAATCCGAATTTTTAGTTATAAATCCTTGCCACCTATATATGTGTTCTAAAAAAAATACCCTCCTTCACTGTAAAAAAACCAACTACAGGCTAATAACCATGGCTTTGAAACCTAAAAATCTAAAAAAAAATAACCAATAATACTTAATATTTAAAATTACCTGTGATGATAATTATTCTCAATGATTGATAATTACAAGACTATTTCTTTTTAAATATTTTGTATTATATATATGTACTTATAACTAGTTGCAACATATTAAAACGACTGTTTTTCATTTTAAATGTCGTTTTAAATTTATTTTAATATATTTATTTACATCCAAAATCCTAACAAAAAATTTTATAATAATTTTAAATGTATCAGTTGCATTATCATTTTTCAATATATAATGAACATCTACAATTCAAAGTTGGTCCTAAACCATATTTATACTATATTTTAAAAGTTTGGGTTAGTATTTGATATATCTCATTAGTTAGAATTAAAATACAATTATTTTTTTTAATTGTTATTATAAAATATATAATCTGTGCCTAGGGCCTAGGGCACAATAAGAATATGTGCTACACGAAAAATAGGGAAAAAATCATTCAGCAATAGCATTACCATTTATTCATACATAAATATCTAACTATATATATATATATATATTTTATTTATTTCTTCGTTAGTTATTATCATTAATCATTAAAATTTCTACGCCAATTTCTTTTCAGATATCGTGGGGGGATTTCAGAAATAGTATAAACGATTAAACCAAGTATCAGGTGGTTGAGAGGTAGAGAAATATGTTAAAAATTGTTTATAAGTTTATGCTTTGAGTGAAAAGCGAAATTGGAAATAAAAAGTGGGCATCGGAAATTGAATGTTGAATTTTGTTGAAGTTGGATTTTTCAACATAATCCTAGAATTGAAGTCCACATCAGGTTAATTAAGGATTTGAAAATAAGTAATTTGGTATTAGGTTTACTATATTTATTTAATATTAATGTTTTAAGCAACCAGAGATGTGCATTGTCAAATTTTTTATTTTCTTTGTTTGATGCTATTTAAACGTTAACGCTAGATACTTATTAAATGAGGGAATGGGATAAAGGTATTTATAAAGGTGACTTAAAGTCAGGAAGCAAGGCTAAAAATGAAAATTTTGTTTGGTTTACTTAAACATAGGGAAAGGTGATTTTGAATATTTAGAGGAGCAGTAATTGGGCCTTCATGTATTGATATTTGATATAATTGCCTTATTGTCTATAAACTTAGGTACAGTTGTGTTTGGAGAGGTAAGTTGATTAATGGCATATATATATATATATATTATCGGACCATTCTGTTGGACTTCTGCATTAATATTTTTGCAATGCTTAAACATGAAGAATCCAACTTGATTTAAAAATAATGATCAGTGAGGTATATGATTTTTTTTTTTTGAATTAAACAATCTGTATAAAGTAAATATAATAAGCTTAAATGATAATAACAATATAAATAGACATTGAAGACTTGAGTTGGAGAAGCCCGAAGCCACCCACTAGTGACACTGCTTAGGGCATTATACTATACAATATATATTTGTATGGGTTTAGTGGAAAAAGGGTCACTGGTATGTAATTTAATCAGGAAATAATGTTGATGGAAAAAAAGATTTTATTTTTACAGTAGCTTCACTCTCAAGACTTTGATTGTTATGACATGTCAAGGAACACGCAAAACAATATTTTTTTATTTATAAGAGAAAAAGATGGTATCAACTAATATATGGAACTGACAATGTTGTAGAGTGAGAAACATGTAAACCAAATTGCATATTAAGTAGTATATCATAGACAAGTATAGTATATTATTGAAGCTAATGCATGTAAGGATTTCAAATGTTTTAGCATAAAAGAGAAAATAAAACAAAGAAATATTTTCAAATTATATATTAAATAAAAATATAAATGTACTATAGATGTATCATAATTTAATTTAAAATATTTATATTGGTGATTTTTTAGACAATATTTTTAATCTTTGTGTGATACATAATAAAGTATAATTGCAAAACGATAATAAATGATATATTAAAAAAAATTTTAAATAGAAAAATATATTTTAATAAACTAAAATAAATTATAACAAGATGAATGCATAGACCTAATAATAGTTATTAGGTCTATGGATGAATGTTATAAGTTATATACATAAGTAATTATTATACACAGTAATAAAAACATAATTTAATAGACTATTGAATAAATACATATTTTTTGGGTAGAAATATAAACTTCAATATTTTGAATAATTAACTCACTTGCCACTGAAAAAATATAAATAAATTACATGTAAAATTTAAAATAGAAAATAATTCAATTAACTTCCTAACAGTGTGACTTGATAATTATTATTATAGTCCTATTTAGCTCAGGTTCAAGAATTAAACTTAACTAATCTAAAAAAACCAAGCGGGATTATATTTAAAGAATTATTTTAAGAAATAGGGTAATATAAAATTTATAATAATTATAACAGATATGTATCAGTTTATTTAAGTTACAAAATATAAAACTATTATTTTAATTATTTTAGTTGTTCAAATTAGATTTTATAAATTTTGATTATCTAAATATGATAGAAAAATTATATTATACCTTTAATCCAGTACTTGTTCCCATATTGGCATTTTTGCTAATTTCTTCATCACGTTTTTGTTGTTCTCGTTGCATACGTTTGACGCGATCTGGATTTTTAATTCCTCGACTTTCTTGTTCTTTTAAACGTTTTTCAGCAGCAGCAGCTTGTTGTTCTCGGACAATCGCCTAAAAACATTTTTACATATTATTATGTTTATAAAATCAAAATAAATATCAAAATAAATATTAAAATCACTTTACCACATCTATTCTAGTTGATTCATTAGAACTGCCACAGCAACACAATAATTTGTAAATATTCCAACCCATGATTAAGCAAAAAATTTTAATTTAATTTATTTTATTTTTCATTAGTAATGATTTTACTTAAATGAATATAAATATATTATAACTTAAATAATCCATTACTTAGACAATATCAATTTAATATAGAATAATATACAATAAATATAACAAATATTTTCTCATGACTTTTTTTAATTTAGGAAATAGGATTATGGCTTTAACAGCTATTTTTCTCTTATACCTAGGACCTAGGTCATTAGCTACAGTTGTAATTACAATATTTACATTATTATTTCTTATCATTGTCATGTTCATATTCGAAAACAGATAGTGTAATTTTTTCATTACACGGATGTTATCATGATACAATATGAACTAGTCACATTGGCAACATTTGTGATAACCTCAAAATTCTTATCTATTCCGATGCTGGCTTAAATTTTAAACAGCTGTTTTTTCATCGTATCGTTGTTGACCTTACCAATATTTCCTATATCATTTCACCCGTACGGCCGTACATCATTTAGTATTTACATCCTCCATCATTATTTTCTACGAGATTGAAATTTTCAATTATTAGTTCAAGACACAGACGAAGAATTAATTACTAATCATGTTATCCAGATTAGCTCTTCGTTCAGGTAAATGTTTTCTACATTACATACCTTAATAGTTTTGCTTAAAATGTGGTTTTTACAGAACTATTCCGAGTAACACCACTGTGTACTAGTGTCGTTCGCACCACACAAACCAAACCGGCGGTCGCTACCACTAATGAATCAATCATTGTACCAGGGTTCCCAAAACCCAATGGCCAGCCTCAACCAAATCCATTTGACGGACCCGAACGTGATCTTGTAAATTTTCCCAGGATGGTGAGGTTAGAAGAACCTGCTAAAACTAGGTATTTGTTCGTACCTGAAGAGTGGTTTGAAGTATTTTATAAAAAAACTGGAGTTACTGGTAAGGATATTCAATGTTTCCCCATTAGATGATTTACGTTTTTTTCTTATATTATTTTTCTGGTAGACTTTCAGACTAATTAAAAAAATATTTTAAAACACATATTATCTGAAACTGAGTTTTCTGTAGAATGGTTATAACATGTTTTTACTTTGAGACCCACAGTTTTTATTTACTTACTTGTCACGCTTCTTATGACTACTTATTTTAATTTCAAATCTTTACTGGATAATATGCTATAAGTAAAATTTATAAAATAAATTCTTTTATTTATTAAGATGTTACAACAATATATGGTTTACCTAGTGAATCTATATTGTTAGCTTAAATATTAAAATATATTAACCTATTACTAAAGTTAATACTAAAAATATCATCTGTGTTTGCTAGTTAATGTTTTATAAAATGTTAATGTTTAAGCGATTTAAGATAATTTTTGAATTTTAATATTTTATATATTTACTAAATGTATAATTCATTTAAAAATTAAAATATCAAAAAAAAAAAAAAAAAATAATAATGATCTTTAATTTTTGATAATTGGGGTCAAGTAAATATTTATTCTAAATTGAATTAAAGCTAACATTATGAAGTTGGTTCTGCTCAATGCAAATTAGCCATGTTAGACAAAAACAGTAGGTTGACATCCTCTAGGTATTATAGAGAAGAAAATCAATGTTTGTATGTGTCTATGTAAAAACTGTTCTTTTAAAGTAATATGCTAGAAAAACATAATAGTTGATAAACAAAAATAGTAGCTTAAAAATATAATAAAAAATAGTCATGATAACCATTTGGCTGTACAGTAGGCATTTAGTGATTTTTTTTTTTTACTACAAAACTTGTGAAAAACATTTCTATGTTCTGTAATAATTCCAATATAGCTGAAGGTATTTTAAAATAATATTTAATAATTATATATTGCATTATTGTCCCATACTAATTTTTCATAATCATAAACGTGTTCATAGCATTTGACTGAATATAAATATATAAGCAGATGGATAATTATAAATCTAAACTTAATAATGATAATAATATAAGTTTTTAAATGAATATAACCCTTAACTACATGCACTGGTATACTCTATATACCAGGGGTGGCCAACATGAATAGGTTTGCGAGCCACATAGATAAATACAATGATGCTAAAAGCCAAAATGTTTATATAATTTGATAATTTTTTATAAGCTAATGCCTAAAAACTAAAATTCATAATAATATTTAGTAAATTTTGATATTGTAAATAAAATGCAAGCCGCATCTGACAATGACAAGAGCCACAAGTTGGCCACCTATGCTATATATCAATATTTTTATTTATTTTGTTCTATTTTGGTTTATAATTGTTTTCAGTTATTTACCTAATCTAACCTTTTCTTGTACAATATTTGATACACATTAATCCATTTCAATCGTCATTTGATGTTTGTATTAGTATAAACATGCTCTGTATTAAATTATTTTTGTATCAGTGAATGAAATGAGCTAAAAATAGGGTGATAGAAATACAATGTTCTTAATGTCAGCATTTTTCATATAAGGAGCACGTATAGCTATTATTATATATATTATGTAAGATGTTTAATAAGTCAGGGTAGTGAGTAAGTTTAATTTAAGTTAGTAACAATTATTTGACAGTAAGATATTATTTTTATTTTTATCAATTATAGCATAGTAATAACAAAATTTTTTTCTTTTACAAGCAAATAAAGTTAATATATTATATAATACAACATTGATTTCTATGTAAATCAAATTTGTGTAGAAAATACTTCTAGTGTGTAATTATTAAAAAAAAAATTGCGCATGCAATTAAAGATTAAAATAAATTATTAGAGAAGGGTAAGGTATAATAAGTATTCCATAATAAAACAATCATACTAATCAAAGTTATTATTTATTAATTTATTATATTTAATAACTTATTATTTAACTAAACATTTTAAATTGTTTTATAACTATTTATTTTTTAATGCTTGTTATGTAATAATTTTTAATTATTATTACATTCTTAAAATTATATTATGTTTTGATTAAAATAAAATTTTTTTCTAGGTCCATATGTTTTTGCTGCTGGTATCACAACTTATTTATTAAGTAAAGAAATTTGGGTAGTTGAACATGAGTTCCCTTATGTATTGGCTACTATTGGTTTGTTTTATGTCGGATGGAAAAAATTTGGATCTTCTTTAGCTAGTTTCCTCGATAAAGAAATTGATGTATGTATTTAATGAAATTATTTTTTTTTAAATTGTTGAAAGTGATTAATTAAATAATATAGTATTCTATTATAATATTTTATTTAGGAATACGAAACATCTTGTAATGCTAGTCGTAAAAGTGAAGTTGATGGCTTAAAAAAATGCATTGAACACCAAAACCAAGAAGTATGGAGAACTGAAGCTCAAAAACATGTAATTCAAGCAAAACGCGAGAACGTTGCTATTCAGTTAGAAGCTATTTACCGAGAACGAGCTCTACAAGCTTACAACCAAGTACTATCTTTAATAGTATATAAGTATTTTTCCAGTATCTTTAATGTTTTATTTATTTATAGGTAAAAAGGCGTTTGGATTATCAATTGGATTTGGCTAACTTGACGCGTTCTGTACAACAAAGACACATGGTTAATTGGATCATTGAAAATGTTCTTAAGTCTTTAACACATGAACAAGAAAAGCAAAGTTTTAAAAAATGCATGGTTGATTTACAAGCATTAGCTGCAAAAGCATAAATGTAATTTTAGTTTGAGCCATTTTTTAGAATATTGTTTAATGGTATATAAACATAATTGCTTTCTTTAATGTACCCCTTTTACAGTAGATTTCATGCTATTTATATGAGATAAGAATAAATTATTATTATGTATATGGTATTATTACTATTCTACAATATACTCAAATTAATTATGTTTTATTTACTTTAATTTTTCACTCAATACAAAACAATGTTGTTTCTGTTATTTAAAAAAAAATAAATTAAATTTTACCATTATAGAATTAATTTGTTCATGATATTTTTACATATTTTTATACATAATTCATGTTTACAATCCTCAATTAAATGAATTATTTTACTCAGTAAGTTAAAAAAAAATAATAATATTTTTTTATCAAACAGTGGTAATAAAATGTAAAAAAATTGATAACATAAATCAGGGTAGTCCTAGGTGTATGGCTGTAAGACTTACGAAACGTTTTTTTTTTGGATGCTCCTTAAAAGACATATATTTATTCTATTCATGTTAAAATTCATTGTCAGCAGAAACCAATTTTTGTTGGGTCGTGGTCATACAACACCTGGTTGTCTATCCTACCAAGTCAACTATCTGTAAGTCCACCTTGTATAATAATGTCCCTGCATAATAGTCGACTACAGATAATTTTTTTGACATAAACAGAGTATAATACATATATTTGATATTCAAATGGAATTATGTTATTTACGAGCAGGCTGTTTTCTTTAATTAAAAACAAATTTCTCTTAAAAAGTTTTAGAAACTATATTTGCAAAAAAAAATTCCCATCATAACATAAAATTTTCTCTTGAAATTTTGTCATTATTTTAAAGCACATTTTTGTGATTCAGCTTTTTATTTTATGAATTATAAAGTTTAAATTAAAAACTGTAGCAACAATTTGTTATTAAAATTGCACATAGAATTAACTACCACAGGGTTATTAATTGATATTAAAAATTAGTTTCTGAAAATCAATGTTAATCGTCACATTAATTATTAAATATCAAGTTCTAAATAAATTTAAGTAATATAATCATAATATCTATGAACTGACACTAATTTATACATATTCTATAATGTGATAACTTGTGTATTATATTATAATGTGGTTGTTACAAAATAAAATAAGAATAAAAATATTTTTATTTATTTTAAGATTAACTTGCTTTCCATCTGATATAAAGAATCGGGTATCAAAATAAATTAATCAAAATCCATACAGTGTAAATTCACACTCAAACGAACAAACTGTCCCCACATATACCTTATTAACGTCCCCCTACCAACTGCTCTAAAATCCGATATCTGGGTCTGTACCTAGATTTCCGACTAACCTGGGCAACCCACACTCACTTCAAGCACCTTACCCTAAACCAGGGGTCGGCAACCCGCGGCCCGCGGGCCGCATGCTGCGCGTAAAGCAATTTTTAATGGCCCGCACAAAGGTGGTTAATTTTTGTGTTTTATTTTTGTTCAATAACATTTTTCATATAATTTTCAATATTATATAATTCTTTTTCCTTTATAAATAAAATCTAATCTAATCATTTCATAATAGCAATACAATTATAAGTATTATATCATAATATGTAATTTTTTTTTTTAATGTGGCCCTTGATGAACAATTGAAAAAAAAAATGGCCCGTGTGGTTTAAAAGGTTGCCGACCCCTGCCCTAAACAATCAATCGCGTCAATTACACTAACTTCTTACATCAAATCACCTAGATCAAAAAATAAACTACTGATATATAAATTGTTCCTCAAACCTATAGCCTACAATTCTGAGAAGCATTTGCCCCCAGCGGAAGTTTTTTGGGGGCGATAAATTTTTTGTGTAACTTACTATTTATTAGTTAATGAAGTATAAATATTCCATCTTCCAGTACTATTAAAAAAAAAAAAAGAATCATTGTTTCAAATAGATGTTTAGGTACTAATTAGTATAAATGGAAAATTTTTACGTTGCTATAATATATTGTATGAAATGGAAATGACTAACTGAAACACCGAGCGTAATGAGGACAATTTTTTTAAGTTGTTCTTATTTTCATAAAAATAATTATTATAAAATATACCAATGGTGCAAAATAATTCCCCCCCCCCATACATTAACCATTAATGCGCTCCTGGGTGTGTTAAATTTAAATTATCATTCATACAAAAAACAATTATGATCGAAGACTGCTTGTCATCAGACATTATTTATTTAGTATATTTTATTAAATATTTGGTACAAAATTTTTTCAGAAATTTATTGTTTTAAAATTCTTTAATTTTTTTTTTTTGTACATTCTAGGACTTTGAAAGAAAAAATATTTACCAAAATTGTCATTTTGATTCCTATAAGTTAGTTAATAATATTGATATATGTATGTATATACGTATCTACAAACAACACGTTTTTATTTGCTTGCTCAATGTATTAAATTGATAACTTCTATTTATAGTGTATTATGGTGTATGGCGATAGGGAAGTATTGCAACCATAGTCTTATTAACATAATTAATAGGTTTATGATTGCAGCTGTACTGTATTATTATAAAAATTATCTGAATTACAGATCCATAAAAATTTATAAATAATATGTTATTGGCAATGGTACTGCTATAGTACAGTAATTTATTTTATTATTAGAAATATAATAATAAAGTAAGATTAATTAATTTAACCGGAAATGCAGTTAACCGTACCTAAACGTCCTAAACTGTAAAAGCTTTAAAAGATCGATTTTTAAAATGTTTAAAATGTTAAATTTGTGTATTTAAAGTTTAAAGCTTAAAAATAAAATTCAATATTCCTTGTAAATAGTTTATACTGAAACCCAAAAATATAATGGTATATTTTTTTAGACATTTAAAATGTATTTATTGACAAAATTGGATATTTAATCCAAAAATAACGATCTCAGTTATTTTGTTGTAATTTAAAAATATTCATGGTGACATAAACTTACGTATATTATTTTATTTTATTACCTATAAGTATACCTGTACACATACGCAATAAGTTATATATATATAACATTTAACAAAATCTTTTGATTAATTGTTTCCTATCATAGAATTTTATATTTAACCATATTGTCCATATTACTAATAGTAAAATAAATTACTGTTATAACATTATAAAATATATACTTAGGAATATAAGTTGACAGGAAATGCTAACTACTAAGTAGTGTACTTACCTTACACATCATACTTGGTAGGTACACTAACAATAAAAAATCAATGATCTCCGATGTAAGTTTTAACTTTAGTTCGCATTGTGTCATTGTGTTATATTTAATTTACTTATTTACTAATTTACTGTTATAAATAAAAAAAGAAGAACGTTACATAATCATTCAACTTCATTTAAACATACATGATTCAAAAAATAAGTAGGTATTTGAAATTAACTTATGATTGAACTTAAAAGTACAGTAAATATTAATAAGTAATAACTGATATGACAATATATTTTGTTACTCATGGTTTATATATGATCCAATAAATAACCCGTAAATAAAGATCAAATTTCTGAAATAATTATACAACAATCTATAGTCTCAATAAACTCTTTAAAATAAGAAGTAACCTCGGCAGCCAGTTTCTGCGCAATATGGGCATAACTTAGTACTTAGTCGCAATAAATGGTTTAGTATAAGACGTGATCTAAACGCTGCAGATGAAAACTGAGCACCGCCGAGGTCGCTTCTTATTTTGAACCAAATATAGTTTCTAGTTAGTCAAATAGGCGATTTAATAAAAACATTCATTATTAAAAAATAAAAAACAATTTTTTTACCTATACTTGAAATTTGAATATCCTTAACTTCTTACAATGTTGTAAAAAACTGTAGCACTGTATAGTGGATTTCGGTAAACTTTATATTAAAGGCGTTAGAGTATATTTTTAAAGATAAAAAGAAATAATTTTTGATGTGATCGTTGATAAAATTAAAATTTTAGGCTATTAATAATTATTGGTTAATTATATACTAATATAACAAGTTTACGAACTCGTTCCTTCCAATTTTCACTCACATTATCCTAGCATTAATAAGCCAACTGTAGTTATTTAGTAAGCTAATCACCGTTGTAATCATACGAAACTATGAATATGAATATAATTTTTATAGTACACAACGGCTGTATTATTATTATTATTAATAAATAATTTTAAGTTATTTTTTATGATCAAAATTGCACTCTTCATCGTTAATGGCTTTGCCATTGCTCAAAAAATAATTGGACAGACTCTTAAAAGTTATAATAAGTAATAAGCAATAATCATATAATGATGAATTAAATATTATAACTAATAGCTATTTTTAAAAAAAAAATTTTTTATTTTTTTTTTATTTAAAAACATTTCAATCTCAACTGAAATTCAAAAGTAAAGAATTTGTTCAATAACATATTTTTAGAATTTAACTAGTGAAGTTAGGAACATTTAGAGGAAGAATTTATTAATATTATTTAAATATTTATAATTATATTATTAATTAATTTTCTTGTTATTAAAATGCACCTCTTTCCCCAGTGGCCAGAGGCACAACCTTAACAAAATGTTGAAATATAGACAAACAATAAAGACTAAAAAAAACTCTATTTTTACAGAAAGATTTTTAATATTTATAATTAATTTACAATTTTATGGTAAATTAATTAAAAATAAACAATAATAACAATGGCACAATATCACATTTATAAAACATAGATACGGGTCATAAAACACTTAAATATATTTTAATACCTATTTAAGTCTGAAATACATTTCTTTGTAAGTGAATTATGGTATTTTTTAAATTTAAAACTTAACTATTTAAGCACCTACCTAATACTTTATGATACAATTTGTATTCTTTTCCAGGATTTCCTGTCTATCTTATAATATAAAGATTAAGAAAGTAAGTTGGTACCAATATTTGATGATTAGCTTGAATCGGTGGAAATATCTTTTAAGTATCAAATAGGGATGTAATATTTAAAAGCAAATTATAAAAATTAATTCTTCTTTTTCTTCTTTTTATGACGGGAATATCAATATCAATTACGGAAGTTGCAAAAATTTATAATATATTATTTTATATATATTACCTAGCGCAATAAAATAGGCTTTCCATTTTAAGGGGTTTTAGTTATGCAAATCCAAAAAAATA